TTTTTAGAGTAGGATGATGTATATTTGTTTAGCTAGGATGTATTTTTTTTCGTTAATAAAGTTGTTGCACACAGCTAGCTTGCTTTAGCAGTGTTGCAAAAACTTTATTTCGGGGAGAAGGGGAGATGTAACACTGTAAAAGTGTTTGGTTTAGTTTAATACATACATAGAGTACATGAGTCACAGACAAGGATCTGAGAGGCGCCAGTTTGTCGGCCTGAGATCTCACACCTCAAAGCGTTAATGACCTCAAGTGACCTGAGGTCAGATCATGAGAATTTCACCTTGCTTCCGCTAAGCTTACAATTGGAGCCTGGTAGCCTTCAAACATGCCGACGTTTAAGGAGTGGCTTGGTAGTGCCGGAGGCTATCTACTTGTGGGCGGAGTTAGCTACTAGGTTCCCCAATATAAACTCGGAGAGCTATCCAGCATGAAAGCATTAAGACAACAGAGCAGACGAGCCAGCAGAGCAGAGAAGACGTCCCTAGCAGGGAGGCTGTCGGCCGGCAGGGGCGAGACAGTCTCTGTCAAGCTACAGACCACCCCCCCCTCTCTATTCAACTTAGACTCAGTCCTCGGTGAGTGAACATTAAGGTGACTTGGTCGTGTTTACATATGTTGTGTGATGATCAGGGGCAGTCAAGTTGTAGGGTTCTCGAATTCTTGGATGATGACTCTCTTTAACATTTTAATTGGATTGCTTATATTATGATACTTAGTATGTGAAATACATGAACTTATTATTTAAATCGTCTTTGTTCCCTAGAGCTTTGAGTTGAGGTGAGAAAGCCTCGGTGGTTACTAGATTCAAGATATTAATGAGTACTTGTTTGGAGTTGATACATGGTACAGAGGGAACATACTAATAATGAACTCATGATAACATCCTTTGAGAATTTTGTGATACAGGCAAGTTCCATTCCTTGTCTTGTATGTAATGATCATGAATGGATGGTGGCAGCATTTCGTCTTCTACTATCTACTTCTTCTACTTCTACTATCTACTCTTCTACTTCTACCTATCTACACCTCTCCCTCCACCCCTCTCTAAACTCTCACTTTCAACTAATGACCCTCCTCGCTCCTCCCACCTCTCTGTCTCTCACCCCAAACCCTCACTAATTACTTCACTATTCATTTCTTTCCTTTCGTTTCTCTTATACGTTTGTGGCAATGATCCTGTATTCTAGAGTTCTCTCTAGAGTTTCGGGTAGCTGATCCAGTTACGGCGCCTTGTGGTCTTAGCACCTAGGTAGTCAAATACCTAGGTTACAAGGTGTTGAACGAGAGAGGTTGCCTTAGGAACTCTGGAGGTGCTCTAGAATAGTTAGCTAACTGGGGACGGGATAACGGACTAGAGAGAGCTGTTTCCCCCGGCCTCGTTAGTTAACTGGGGGGTGGAATAATGGACAAGATAGAGCTATTTCCCCCACCCCCCGTTACAACGCGGTTCCGGTTTTGTCACTGATATCATTTATATATGATATGCGCGGTTTGAGGGTTAAATGTAAAGTGATCATAGGCCATCACTCCTTGTGCCTCTCTGAGGGAACCAGGTTCTGGCTTGTGGTCCCTGGTAGGCATTATGAACTCCGAGACTGATGATACCAAGTAGTATTGCACTTGACCCTTAAAGTGCGCATCACTTCATATGAAGTGTAAATCGTTTTACCAGTCAACTGCGCTTCACTTCATATGAAGTGTATGGGTACCGCGCACGATTTGAATGGCCCGCGGTGTAGCTGGGGGTCCCATACGCTGCCCAGGGGCTCTAGTAAACAGCGGCCATTTTGAAAAAAATTCCCGCTCACGATCCGAAGGCATGGGAGGCCTCAGTTTAGCGAGTCACCATGGCGAGCGCACGGTCAAACGCCTCACGGGCACGCACCACTCAGTCCCTCACCCCAGAGCAAATAGCCCACGAATTATTCTCTGAAGGTGAAGAAAGTGTGTTTGACGATTCAGACAACGATGAGGATTATACACAGTTGTCGAGTGATAGTAGCAGCAGCAGTGAAAGTGAGAATGACCGCCATGCCATGGCGAGGCCTATACGCTCTCCCATGCCTCCTCGCCCATTTTCTACCCCAATTCTACCACGACCTCACAGTTCCTGTGGATATTTTCTGTTTGAGGGTGACGAGTCAGAGGGAGGTGACTCCTTTTCTGGGTTTAGTGACTCAGATCAAAGTTTTATTGAGCCTGTGGCTGGTACCAGTGGTATAACTGGGCGAGAAATTGTCGCGTCAGCAGCATCTCGCCCAGCCAAGCGCCACCGCATGGCACCACATGAGGGACCAAGACCCTCGTGTTCACGTGCATCCACCTCACGTGCACCCACCTCACGTGCACCCACCTCACGTGCACCCACCTCACGTGCACCCACCTCACGTGCACGTAGCCGCCGTGCTTCTCGCAGACGGTATTCAGCTCCTGGTCGCCGGTATGCATCGCTTCCTCGCCGTCTTTCCTCTGCATCTCGCAGGACGCCTGGTGTACTTGAGTGGAGTGATGGTGACGATTTTATTCCTAATATTCCTCACTTTGACGATAAAGATGTAGGGATTACAAACCTTTTCCCTAATCAAGGTGAGGACATGGCTGAGATGGAATATTTTACAGCATTCTATGATGAACCACTCACGGAATACATTGTACACCAAACGAACCTGCATGCTGCTTACCTGATTGAGAGGGAAATCACAGAATTTTCACGACTGCAGCGTTGGAAAAATACCACAGTGGCGGTAATGTATGTGTTTTTGGCACTCTGTTTGTTGATGAAGCACTGTCACAAACATGCAATAAATGACTATTGGAGCAAGGACAAGACAATACCAACACCTTTATTCGGGAAATATATGTCACGAGACAGGTTTCAGATACTCCTCAGGTGTCTACATTTTGGAAGTGTTCAGGACCGAACACCTGATGATAGACTGTGGCGAGTGAGGCACTACATGAACGATGTTATTGGAAAATTCAGAGATTTTTACGTACCAGCACAGAAGCTGGTGGTTGATGAATCTCTCATACTTTTCAAGGGACGTGTTCCATTCCAACAGTACATTCCCTCAAAACGAAACCGATTTGGCCTGAAATTTTTTGTTCTTTGTGATTGTGAGACAGGATACGTGTTACACATGATTCTGTACTCGGCTAGTGATGTAGACATTCCCGGTAACGACGAACATGGATTCTCGGGGAGTGTAGTGAAGACCATCATGGCTCCGTGGTTGAACAAGGGACACATTTTATACACAGATAACTACTATACAAGTCCCTTGCTAGCTCGGTTCTTGCTAGAAAATAGAACCGGATTGGTTGGTACAGTAAAGCCACAACGAAGGGAAATGCCTGTGTTTGACAACGACATTGCAGTTGGTGAGTGTCAGAGAAGGAAAAGTGATAACATTCTGTCAGTTCGGTGGAAAGACAAAAGAGAGGTGAACTTGTTGACAACAATTCATGATGGAACAATGGTGAACAGTGGGAAAGTGAGCCATAAAACAAACGCACCACTATATAAGCCAGACTGTGTTTTAGACTATAATATCAACATGCGGTTGATTGATAAATCAGACATGATGATTGGCACTGCAGAGTGTGTGCGGAAGACATGTAGGTGGAAGAAAAAAGTGTTCTTCCATCTTGTGGACATGAGCATGCTGAACTGTTTCAACATGTACCTTGTGAGAACTGGACGTAAGCCCACTTTCCGTGACTTTGTATTTGATGCTGCAATACAGTTATTAGGAAAGTTTGCAAAAGATGTCCCAGGTATTCAGCGGCCCATCATAAACCCACTGTTGCAGCATGCTTGTACTCCACGCCTCGCTCACACTGAAGGCTTCCTAGCACACAAACTTAAGTATTTGCCACCTGGTGTGAAGCGTGCAATAGCCCAACGTGATTGCTTGGTGTGTAAAACAACGACACGTAGAGACAAGAAACGGAAGCTTGTGCAAACATGGTGTGAAACGTGTGGTATCCCATTATGTGCTGTCGACTGCTTCAATGACTACCACAGTCTAGAAATCTAAGTGTGCTTCAAAGTGTGCATTGCGTGTGCGAGTGTGTAAATATGTAAACATATAAGCAGATAGCGTGTGCGTGTGTGTAAATATATACAAATATAAGCAGAACATACAATATAATAGACTGTAATGACATATTATATTGCCGTAATTGAAAACATTTGTGTGCGCCTGTGTACACTCAAATATGCAACAATTATTGATGCAAAATATGTTCAAACAGTATTTGAAACACAATTAGTGAAAAAAAATTAGATAAAATGCGCTTAGACATTGTAAATAAATAGCGCGAAAATATATTTGTGGCAACTCTGGCTGTTTGAGGACCGCGCGCAACACCTCCCGGGCGTGTACTGCATGAGCGAACATGCAGATTGTGACGTCATCACCGAGCTTCTCGGCTCTATTGCAACAAAAGTAAGTACAATAGAATTTTTTTTTATTTTTCCCGTGATCAGTGAACAGAACTTAACAGATTAGCAAAAAAAAAATTTTTTTTTTTTTCAAAATGACATGCGCCTGTGCGGATGGCAGGATATTAGACCCCGAGCATGTTAAGGGTTAATCAGTGAGATAGCTTCAGGGAGCTAATGAGGCTCCCCCCCCTCCCCAGAAAACAATACATACCAAATTGCAATTGAATATATCTAACCATTTTAGCAATATAAAAAACATAGTGGGGTCTAGTATAAAACTTTCTAGGTTATTATTGCAACTGAGATAACCGAGAATATCACCCGGAGTCAGGAATATATTTACATAATGCTCACATTTTCACCAAGAAATATGTAGCAACAATATCGCCTTTCCTTGTGCCAATGTACACCAGATACCACATGGACACTACAGATTTTAGGGGGATGGACAAATGTCAATGGCACTCCTGTGAAAACCCAAACTATATAAATAATAACTTATCAATTTTACTAAGAAATACAAAATTATTCCAATAAAATACTAACCTTGCTTAAATCTCTGTTCAGACAGCTGAGGTCCTTAATGTGTTTACCATCAACATATCGAGTCGAGTCTCTAAATAGCCGATACCATACGTAGTTGTTTGGGTCCAGGTGATCAATCACTGGGTATGCAGTCTAAGGAGAAAACATTTTTAGTGACATGAACTAAACACAACCATACAGTAGATACATACAATTACAACTTATTTGTTACAAAATATATATAAATATATACATACAGTATATATATATATACTGTATATATTTATATTTTGCATATATTTAAGGCTTGTATCGAGATTCCACTAAGGTCAAACTACTGACCCCTCCCAGGATGCAACCCACAAAAGTTGCCTAACTCCTGGGTACTTATTTACTGCTAGATAAACAGAGGCATTAGGTGAAAGGAAACATGCCTAATCCTTTCTGTCCCATTGAGGATTCGAACCTGGGATCCCCGATTGTGAGTTGAAAAAAAGAAGGCAACTGTGCATTATATAGTACAACCTCGATTCGGCACACTATATGGGACAAACCCCAGTTTGTTGCAGGGGTGGATTCATTGCAACAGGTGATGCCTTCAGGAGGCGTTTGCATCCGTGTGTTTATTGTCTTGTACACAATAAAAATACCATGCATGATAGCACCATGGAACCGAACCCCGAAAAGCCTGAAAAGGAAGCTGGAAAAACAAGAGCTGACAAAGGGCTGGAGAGGCCCAAACCCAACAGTCCTGTCAACAGTAAAACATGCAGAACTGGACAAGTACTGTAGCCCAGGAAAATAGGGCTGCTTGTGAGTGACAAGTTCAGACTGCTGCACAACACAAGTAGGACAGACCTGGAGTATGCTCTTGGGAAAGAGCTCCGGGCTGACTTGTGGCAGCCATTGGTACTATCACAGAAATTGTTCGAGCTAGTTTCGAGTGATCCAATTGTTTGGATTGCATCATTTGCAATCATTCAACCATTTGGATGCATCGTTTATGAATATTAGTTGTCTACAAAGCTTCGCTGATGTTTTGAATGCTTTCCCAGTAAGGGTGTAATAATTGTCCCCTGCTACTTGTGCCTCTGAGGGGACCAGGTTCTGGCTCTGGTCTCCAGTAGGCTAAACAGGACTCCTGCTGCTGATGTGACACAATAGTGGGGAACCATCTCAGCAAGATTGTTTCAGAGACTGCCAAGGGCTTCTCTCAGATATTTAGTTGCTATTGCAAACGAATTAAAGACATGGAACCAAATTTTGTGGAAGAAGGAAGTACTGGTTCTACATTTTGTGTTCAAAATGTGGAACCAGTACTGCCTTGGATATACAGACTTCCATATTTGTACAGGACGTAATTCAATCCCGATATTGATAGCAGTTCCTGCAATCTTAATTAAGAGTTACCTTATTATGGCTTTCTTATTGTAGTATTCAAGGAAAACAAACCAATATGAATGAAGAAAAATACCAAATATCTAAACTTTGACACTTTGAAAAAATATTTTGTCACAATGATGCCACATACTTTAGTGTACTTCAAAATATAACAAGGTTAATTATTTTATTAGGTAATAACAGCCAGAGATGTCAAATCCTAATAATAAGAATTTATAAGCAAAATTAAATTTCCTTACAATATCCATAATGAAAAATGGCATATGATGTAGGCCACCTTTACCTCGGGCAGATAAAAAGTGTTGCGGGATGCAAGCCATCATTTAATACAGTAGTTCAGCATACAGTAAAACAGAATTGGTACTCACAAAACCTTGCTCATTGGTGTAAATTACAATTTCAAACAGTGGAGGAGCACAATGATGCAGCAAGAACTCTACACCGGGACGTTTCTTAAACCGCCAACCAGTCTCGTACTGAAAAGTCCCCACACAAAATTAAGATAAGTCAACTAAATACAGTACGCCACCACTAAGCCAAAATGAAAAGCCTGTTTAGCAAAGACAAACATATAAATCACTTTAAACTTCTGTTTAACACAATATTCATGATTTTATAATGATGTACAAGAAGAGCGCCATTGCCTAAAACTAACCGTCCACTCTGGATGCACTAGAACATCACGGAGCTCCAGGACTAGTGTGTAAGTTGGTTGAAAATATGGCTCTTTTAATGGGTCTGGCAAGAGCTTCTCGCGTGATGGCTCCTGGATCATTTTATTCATAGCATGCATGCCCTGCCAGGTGCGGTACAAATACTGTTTGACTGCTGGCATATTGGAAAATTCATCTGGTATAACGTTACCTTGCATATCAACATTTGGAGAACCTGAAATACCCAAAAATTTAGTGTACAAAACTTCCCAAAGTATAGCACAACTAATGTACAATAATAAAGTTTAAATGCATTAAAAAAATGCCATTCAAACCCTGGTTACAATATTTATCTACAGATTCAGTAGGGCTTCGATTGAGTCTTCATGGATGTACCTCCATCAGGCACTCTGGACTCAATCGAACTTTTCTCCACTGCTTCCTTATAATGCTGCAGGGAAATATTTAAACAAATTCCCTGGAGTACCAGTGTCTGTATGTCATCCTGCCTGACTGTTTATAAATACCGTACTATGTAAGGTGAAATTGCATGAGCAACCAAATGGCTAAGTTCAAAAACCAGCATTGAATTTAATGAAATGCCTCATTTTGGCAGAGCATCGGTAGTTCCTTGAGGCAATCCTGCCGAGATAGCTTCCCACTACTGGGTCACATCAGAGGAGTTTTGTTTGGCCTACAGGGAACCACAGCCAGATCCTGACCCCCCATCAAAGAGGCACAAAGAGAAGGGGGATTATGATCATCCTCACTGGAAAAGCTTCCAGAAAGGAAATGTGGCGCTGAAACAGCCAAACGACTCGTATGATTCATTTAAAACAAAAGGTTCACTCAAAACTAACACCTGGTTTCCTGGCTATCATCTAGCTTCTGATCACTCCCATGCTGATCCACTATGAATCGATTACTGACCTCAGTGCATGCATGCATATCTCACTCACACCCTATCTCATACTCTGTCCTCCAGGGTGGACAGAGCAGCAGAAGTGATGAAAATCATTGAGAAAATAGTAGGTTTAGAAGAAGGCCTCAATTCAAAGGAAAATGTCAGTAATTTTTGGATAGGAAAATGAGACAAGAGTCACCCCTTAAGGGTGACATTTAATGGAGTGAAACAAATGACATAAGTCATTAGAAATGCCAGGAAATTGCAGTGATAAGGATGGCAAACTTTGGTCATTAAGACAAGACCTCTCAAAGGATGAGTGATCACACTCCTCACTTTACTCTACCACCCTCCAGGGACAATGAGTGGCTATTGGAGTCCTCAGAGGGGTTTCTAGTCCCTGTGGTCTTTGGTTGACACGGGGGAAAATGTTGACTCGAATGGAGTACTCTGCACAGGCAAGAAAGTTGTCTAAAAGAATCCGCAACACACAGGAGATCTTTCTTGGGTTTATGTGCTTTGCAAGGAAGTTTATGACCATCAAATTAAGAAACACAAAATGAGGCCAAGCGAAGTTTGGGCTTTGCTGTTGCTTGATAATGTGCCTGCCCACCCCAAATTGACACCTTAACCTCACATGATGGCAAGAAAACAGGTATGGCACTTTCTTCTAATACCACCTCTCTCATCCAACCTATAGAGCTGTGCCACAAAGAGGTTGTACACCAAAAAGGTTGTTCAAAGAAATTTTGGTGGTTTTGCTTCTCGAGGAAGATGAGGCACTTAGCATGGATACTAGGACCCTTGAGAACTTGAAAAACTATTCCATCAAGCAGTTTATAACTGGGCCAAGGGAAATGGAGTAATGTATAGGAATTGACTTTGAAGAATTCCTGAAGAAAATCCTCACAATTAAGGACAACTTTAGAGCCATCTATTGATGGCTCTAGTTCAACAAATACTTCATAACCTGGCTGTAATATGTTGGAAATAAGTTAGTGTACATCCCATAACTTGGAAAAGAACATGTGATGCTGGAAGTTATGCAGTTGTGTGTTTAAATGACAGGTATAGTAACAGCCATAAGACCATTTCTGGAAAGGTATTAAGTACAAATATTGCAAGTGATGATAAATTTAAAGGTTAAACTTCATCAGTAAATGGTATCCAATATAGTAAACTAAACCAGTTTCAAGTGTACAATAATGACGTCCTTTACCTGGAAATGTTTGCAATGAAATAATCATGCAATTGTTGGGAAGGCTGACCAGCAAAGAGCATTGAAAAATTTAATTGACAGACCATCTGTTACCTACTAAAATTAAACATACAGTATTGACCATGGTTATACTGGCAAAATTCCCCCACAAATGGTTGCTATTTATAGCCATATGGAGACCAGCACCAAGGTGTCTGGACACTTGTATATGGAACTAAACTCTGGACACTGGCCTCTGTTGACGAAGAACTCCTGAAACCCTGGTTGATACCTGGTTGATGGGGTTCTGGGAGTTCTTCTACTCCCCAAGCCCGGCCCGAGGCCAGGCTCGACTTGTGAGAGTTTGGTCCACCAGGCTGTTGCTTGGAGCGGCCCGCAGGCCCACATACCCACCACAGCCCGGTTGGTTATCCCTCTCCAGATATACTCTAGGTATACACTGCTGTTTTTTATTTATATTTAAGGGTCCCAGTAGCACAGTTGGGTTTGTGCTTGATGCACAATCGAGAATTCCAGGTTTGAATACCAGGCGAGAGAGAAATGATTGGGCACATTTCCTTTCACCTAATGCCTATGTTCACCTAGCAGTAAGTAGGTACACAGGAGTTAGTACTCACCTAATTGTGGTGTTGCATCCTAGGCGGGGTCAGTAATTCCGCCTGGAAGGGGGGGGGGGCCTCGATAAAAGATAAACCATGTATGAATACACTCTGGCTTCTTGTCGCCCAACAGTGAATTATTTGAGCATTGCATGTACAGCATCCATTTCAGTGTTATTTTCATAAAATAATGTCTGCTTTAGATTCATATCATAGATTTTTACAATAAACTTAATACTGTACTGTATTTTAATACCATTTTTATTCAACCAATATGTCTAGTTTGATTACTGCATAGACAAGGTGTTCGGTAGTATTTCCTGACACTTGGTGCCCCCATTCACTTAGCAGCAAATAAATACCCAGGAGTTACGTAATTATAGTGCATTATATCCTAAGGAAGATCAGTTGTTGGCCTACTACGAGTTCAACAAGCCTAACAAGCTACCTAGCCTTAACACTTTCGCGCTTAGGATTATCCATGAGTCGTCACCGTATTTTCTTACGTTTCCGCATAACAGACGATGCCTGTAGTCCATCGAAAAAATATTTGTATAAAATCCATTTATTATCCGATCAACTTGGGAATAGTATACAAATGTTTGCCATGAAATTTACGTTTTCTCTAATAGCCGAACAGCTTATAAAAGAAAACGGCGTGGCAGTGAATCATCGTGGTAAAAAATTGTATTATTGACACGACGAGTGTAATCGACGTAGTTTTTATATATGTTGCCGGTCGAACGCATCCTTATGTGACCTTTAATACTTATGTTCTTATAGAACATTCTATTGCGAGCACATTGGTACAAAAATGAAATACATACATCGACAAATAATGTCAGGACAGTGAATTGAATATACACTTTTCAAAGCGAGTTTCTCCGATATGCTGCTGCGGGTAACACTTCGGCCACTTCCCACACTGTTTTGGGTGGGCTACGACATTGAATCTATATTTATATGCATATGTCCGTGTAGAAAATTTTATTGCGATTCCAATGATACCACAATTAGCGATGTAGGACAACTGTAGGCTTCGCAACCATTAAGAGAGTGGAAACATTTTGTTGCTATTTGGCGCTCTTGGCGAGTGATCTGAATAGTTTTTTATTTGGTGTTGATAGTCCTTATGGTTTGGCGGCATTTTATAGATATGTTCTTATAGACAATTTTATTGCGAACACAGTGATACCAAATTTAAATACGTGCGCCTTTAATTATTATCAGGACAGTAAAAAAGAGTGTACACTTTTTCGGTCTTACCGCGTAGGCGCGCGGAGCGCCAAAAGCATCTAGGGTATTATTTTTTTTTGAGCGCCAAGAGTGTGAAAGTGTTAATATTGGGAAACCATAATTCAAGCTGTACAAGGCCCAGGCAGCAGGCTCTTTCTTTAGTCAAAAATAAAACAAATTTCTGTTCTGTATTGAAATAGCTACTGATAACACATTTGGCACTAACTTACATAGGCTTCCAAAAAAAACCATGCCACGAGATCCAAACTTTACTGTTTGTTTATATAAAGCTTATACTGTAGCTATAAATGGAGATACAAAGTTAAGAAGTGCTTGTCTAATCTAAGAATGAATGATTTTACAGTATCACAATACTATCTCTCTTGGTAAGCTTTAACCCATGTTAAGCATTTGGGTAAAGAGGAGGTATTTAGCTTCATTACAGTGAGATCGTTTTCCTGTGATTTTAACATTATCGCTGCAACATTAAGTCTATCATTATCTGCAAAAATAATTACTTTTCTCAATTAACTAATTTCCTTTAATATGTAATGCTTGTATTAGTTCCCCTTCAATTCCTTGGTTTTCAAGACAATAAATTTGTTCTTTTGAATGGGGGGGGGTTCATATAATATATTTTTGAATCACGATATCAGCTACGTTGCCAGATGCGAAGGAACTACAAAATCTGTCAGTTATCTTCCCAAAATTGTATGACTATTATACAGTATTCAAGAACAAGATGCACCAATGAATTGTAAAGTTAGCACGACCAAACAAAATTAAAAAGATGTCAAATTCAGAATTATATTTGCCCTTCTTACAGCTATGAACACGGCTTATATGATTTCAAGATGGAGTATTGATTACTGTCACTAAGGCCTAAATGACTAGTATGCAAGTCCCCCAAGTATAAAAAAAGACAGTTGCCACAATGGCAACATCTTCAGAGCAATCAATGTGAGAGAAAATAATTCTAAGATACTAAAGTACTAAACCAGTATAGCACATGGAATGGATACGTGAATAAGGTTCTGGGATAGGATGGAGGGAAGGTATAGAGTCCAACCACCGAGACAGTCAGGGATCAGTGATGGGCAGGAAGCGAGGTGGTCGCTGTACCGGCCACACCGAGTGGTTGGATACCATAAGGTGAAGTAAACCATAACATAAGACTTGACCGAGTCCAGCCTGGCCTCAGGCCGGGTGTACAACCCCTCCCAGAACCCTCTCCAGGGATGCTCCAGGTACAGTAACTTACTGACCCCAAGTCCATATCATGAAGCCGCTCATGCCGGTCATCATAACGCCAAACCCGATAAAAGAGTATTTGAGTGTCCTCCAGGTCTTCTCCTTTTCCTTCTGCTTCTCGTTGTTCTGCTCGCCCTGCTGCTGGTCCTCTGTCGTCTGCTCCTTGAGCTCACCGTGCACTTTGGCTGTTAAGAGTTCGTCTGCAAGGCCCACAGAGCCCGCAGACTTGTCCGGCCCCACACTTCTCGACGCGTATGACCTTAACGCCACCCATTTTAGTCCACTGGTAGCTCCCGCGGCACTCGCCACCCGTCTCTGTGTCACACGGCTCAAAGTTCTGTGGGGTAGACTGGGAGTGACAAGGGTAATGGAACAATTCCTGAGGAGAACCAGGCAGGAGGACCGCAACGCTGCCATGTTGCTCTGGCGGCGCGTAAACACTGGGACAAGCACAGGTCGCCTTGCGCACCCCACAACCCAACCCCATCCCACTCAACCCAACACATTTAGACTTTTTACACACAGAGATCACACTAACGTGATGCATCAAATTGAACAAATCCACAAGGGCTGTAACGAGGATTCGAACCTGCGTCCGGGAGCATCCCAGACACTGCCTTAATCGAACTTGAACTGCCTTGAACTTTTTAATTTAAATTGCTATAAAATAATCAGTTTTTCTAGGAGACATTATATATACTAGTCTATGTGACAGTGTCAGACCACGGAGGAAAATTGAAACAGTAATTTCCTTAAGTACTTTCGTATATTAATACATCTTCAGGAGTCCAGCCTTCTAGTCAATGTATGTATAGCGAGTATATATCTATCAATAATACGCTCGCTCCAAACTCTCATTAGCTTAATGAGATGTGTTTGTGTTTGTCATAATAGTCTACTTAATCCACTAATGACAAAACTCATACCTCTTCCCTGTTTACAGTTAACACTTCTTTCAGCCTATTAGGTGAGGTCTGATCTGATTATATAAGCAATCGAGAAGGGAGTAATCGCAGACCATCTGGTCACCACTTGGTCCGGGAGACATCTCCCGTCACGCAGGGTGCAGTCGCGCCTCCACAGATCTCCAGTATCATCTATTGATACTGGTGATGGCTCAAAAGGGCCACCACTTACCAATTCATGCCCGTGCCACCTATTGGGTGGCTTCATCTTAACACATTCACAAGGGAGACATCTCCCATCATGCAGGGTGCATTCGCACCTCCACAGATCTCCAGTATCAGCTCTTGATACTGGTAATGGCTTAAAATGGCCACCACTTACGGGCTATTCATGCCCGTGCCACCTTTTGGGTGGCTTAATCTTCATCATCATCAAACATTAACACCATTTGGTCACCACTTGGTCCGGGAGACATCTCCCGTCACGCAGGGTGCAGTTGCGCCTCCACAGATCTCCAGTATCATCTTTTGATACTGGTAATGGCTCGAAAGGGCCACCACTTACGGGCTATTCATGCCCGTGCCACCTCTTGGGTGGCTTAATCTTCATCAATCATCAATCGAGTAATCGCACTCTTGAGTTTCTTAATTTTAATCTTCATTAATCGAGTAATTACACTCTTGGGTGGCTTAATCTTAATTTTCATCAATTGAGTAATCACAACTCCACTTTCGGGCTATTCATGCCCGTGCCACCTTCTGGGTGGCTTAACCTTTATCAATCATCAATCAATCGAGTACAGCCCCGCTCCTGTGTCAGGTCAGTCCCCTACGGGCTCACCATAGCCCGTGCTATTTGCAACATTTTGTTCCCAGTAGCTGCAACTAAAACAATGAGTATTCATCCATATAATTTCAACAGTGGTTCAGTTGATTTCAGTACATAAGCTTGAGAATTACTGCACACCTACAACCTCAAGAATGTTCCTACCGACTGTTTGTGTCGGTAGGAATGACGTGTCTAAGCTATACTCCAAGCTCCGTCTCCACTTCTACAACACTGCCAACAACCGACTGATGTTACTACATTGTATAACATAGTAGTTACTGTGGAAGTGGTTAAGAAACACCTGATTGAATTAGGTGCAACATAATCAGTAGGGCCATACTTAGTATCAACAAGGCTGATGAAGGAGACTTGCAGAGGTACTTTTCATCAGCTAACTAAAGTTTTCAATTAAACACCTGAGACTGGAAACCTTCCATAGAATTTTGGAAAAATGCAACTGTTGTCCCAATATTCAAAAAGAGGACAGACAGGAGGCGTAGAAAAAGTGATAGAAAGATAGAAAGTGATATAAAAAGGAACCAGGATGAGTATAATTCAACACTTGGAAAGGATAAACTTTTGCAACAAATGGATAGCATGGATTTAGAATGGCAAGTTTTTGCCTGACAAGGTTACTATAAGACAAGGAAAAAAAGGGCAAGGTAGACTATATTTTCCTGGATTGTCATAAAGCATTTCATAATGAAGTGTTGATTCAAAACCCACACATCTGAAAATGGAGAAACAACATTTAGGTCCGTCCTTGACCATTATAAAGTCGTGTGACCTTTTCTTATTCTTACCCCATTGATTTTATCTTACTCTTTCCTTTCATTTTATTCTTATCTTCCTCTTATTCTTATCTTTCATCCTATTCTTACCTACTTTCTCTTACTTGCTCCTCATTTTTCATTTCATTCTTACCTTATTTGTCTGTCCCTCTCTCTCTTCCTATTACACTTCATAATGATCCAGGATCGATCAAAATGCCGTCGTTTCTCCATTTTCACTTGATATTGTCCTTTATGAAAAGTTGGTGTTCAAGATGGAGAAGCAAGTAGGAATAACTGGACAGACACTGAACTGGTTAAGGGATTATCTGAAGAAGGAAAAGTCAGAGAGATGAGGCTTCAAGTTGGAGAAATGTAACTAGCAGAGTTCTCCAAGTGCTTGGGACCCTTGCTGTTCCTAATTTGTGTGAATGACCTTCCCGAGGGAATGAGTTCGTACATGAGCAGTCCCCGTGGGAACTGGTCAGGTCCAAGGTCTAAGGTCGCGGTGACTTGCCTCTTGGTGGTGGTCTTCTCTTCAATTTTCTTCAGTTCCTCCTTCCTTCTTGTGCAGAGGTATTGCAATAAGCAGAACAATACCCTACCACCCCACAGGAAATGCATAGGTTGAACAGTATCATATGGAAGGCTATACATTAAACATTAAATTCACTCAATCTAGCAGAAATGCATTGGGAATTGGTGCTTCCAGATGCACTACACTCCATTAGATCTCTGTTATCTACTTCAACTAATACTACCCCATGAGCAGATTATTTAAATTTCATCGACGCTCAACTCATATAAGTTCATCAAAATCATGGCTTATGTCTCCTGGTCCAGTGCTACTTTGACGTTTTGTTGTCTAATAAGAGTGACCCTCTAGCTGACTAAGTTGTCATTGATGTAAATCCAACTTGTGCAAGCATTAGGTATCCAGATGTATGCCAATCTATAGTAACTATCCGTGATTTGGCTCGATGTCCACTGTGCCTGACAACGCCGATGAAACAACATGGAATGTTGGGCCTAATCCCTAGCATCATCCGTCTCCAGCTCATGATATAGGAATGAGAATGATGGACTCTCCAACTACACCAAGTCTTCAAGATTGTGAATTGCCATATGGGAGACCCAGTGACAATGGCCACCTTCTCCAAGGAGACCCAGTGACAATGTCCGCCTTCTCCAGGGAGACCCAGAAAGTCTTTCATTACATCATCATCAGCGTCTGGGATGCTCTCGGACGCAGATTCGAATCCTCGTCACGGCCTGTGTAGATTTGTTCCAGAAAGTGTGTCCGGGTGCCAAGGCCTCCTGACTTATGGCTGGGTTTAAGATCATGTAGTGTAATAACTGTTCTGTTGATGGCAAGTATTGATTTAAGTTATCTGCTGTATTTAGTTACAATTAGTTAAGATTCTAAACTAAAGAATGTGATATTTCTGAAATATCTTATTCATTATATTCATTTTCACTTGTTCTTGTAGGGTTTCTTCCCTTCTGATGTCTTTGATTTGTGTTATTTCAAGTACCATGTAAGGAGGAACCAAGTGGAATAATGCTGCAAAAATGCAAAATCAAGGACATAATTTTACACCATGCAGTTCACGGGGCCAAACACCAGATGCTGCAGCAAAGGGTTAAATATTTTTAATGACTTCCCTGATATTGAAATTTATATGTTCAAGCTCTGTCTCATCTGTCTCGTGCTGGCTAGCTCTCACATACATACGCTCATGTTGGAAAACATCAGCACAAGCCCAAATAATCACACTGCAGGGACAGGGCAGTAGACTTTGAAAATGACAAACAAGTGAATATAGAACTCGATAAAAGGTTCTAGGTCTACAAATCAAAACCAGATTTATAACAAATTGCCAGAAACAACACTAGATAGAATGAAGGTTACTGCAAAAGAGGTAAGAATATACCTGTAGAACTGAATGTGGCAAAAGAAGTAGGACCAGATCAGATATCACTGTGGGTACTTTAGTCAGCTGCAGAGGTTGTATGTTACCCATTAACTAGAATTTTGGGCATAACAGTAAACAGGAGAGCTCCTGGAAATCTGGAAAATAAAAATATTGTTCCAATATTCAAGAAAGGGGACAGATACGAAAAAATAAATTATAAATCAGTGCCACTAACATTCATTCCGTGCAAAATGCTGTCAAGTCATCGGAAAAAGAACTGTAAATCATTTATAGAGTAAATTTTGTAAAATGAGGCATAACACTGCTTTAGAGGGAAAATCATAATTAACAAGCTTTACCAAATATAATGACAGGGTTACCAAAGGCAAAAGAATGAAGGATGAGTAGATTACATGACTGGACTATTTGATATATATATATATATATCTTCTTGAGGTTATCTTGAGATGATTTCGGGGCTTTAGTGTCCCCGCGGCCCGGTCCTCGACCAGGCCTCCACCCCCAGGAAGCAGCCCGTGACAGCTGACTAACTCCCAGGTACCTATTTACTGCTAGGTAACAGGGGCATTTAGGGTGAAAGAAACTTTGCCCATTTGTTTCTGCCTCGTGCGGTAATCGAACCCGCGCCACCGAATTACGAGTCCTGCACGCTATCCACCAGGCTACGAGGCCCCATCCACATATCCATGTGGACTTGTCATGGACTGTATCCATGATACAGTTCATCAAAATACAAATACACAAGATTAGGAGACAAGCAGGTTTAACAGAAAAGATATGGGGACTGGGTACCTGACATAGCAGAAAACAGTGTCATAATTAGAAAGAATCTGTCAGGTTGGAAAGGTGTGGAAAATGGTATTCTGCAGGTCTCTGCCGTAGGACTGTTGCTCTTTTTAATTTATGTAACTGACCTATCAGATGCAGTGAGCTCGTACATATCAATACAGTATTTTCAGATAATGAAACGTTAATGAGTAAGAAGTGATAATGACTGTAGAGTGAACAGAAAAATTGCTACTGGAACTCATTCTAAATAAGTATAAGGTAATAAAGATGAAGGTAGACAGGAGACTTTAAGATAACTATACAATATGGGGAAGGCCTACAAGAAACTTTAAGAGAGAAAGCTGGGAATGGATATACTGTAATCTTAACACTTACACCAGAGATTCACATGAACAGAATAACGTCAGCTGCTTACCGGAAGTTAGCAAACATAAAATTATTTAGGAATCTAAAAAAAAAAGGAAGCTTTTAAGTTCATATACATTGACCAAGTCCACTACTGGGTATACAACACCAGCTTTGGAACCCACACATTATTAAGCACAAAAATTATATTACAGAAACTTGAGAGGTGTGCTACTAGTTTATTACTAAAATTCAGGGCTCAACTATGTGGACAGGTTGATGGAATTCAATCTCACAAGCTCAAAGAAAGACCCCTAAGGGATAGACATGATCACTACACACAAGATCCTGAGGGAAACAGAAAATGTGGACAGGAGCAACCTATTTACATTAAAAAAAAAAAAAAAAGGCAGGACAAAGGAACATCGATGGAAGATGGAAGACACAAAATCGAGTACTAGAGATGCAAGGCAATTCTTGTACCATAAATGGGTAGTAAACAAGTAAAATGCATTAAAAGAAGTTGTCTAGGCCACTTACATTCACAACTTTTAGAAATATATAACAAACTTAAGTGTCATACGGTATTAAAACAATAAGTATAAATGACTTGAAGGCAGGCCCTCACTTCTCTGCAGGTAATGAGAGGTAAGCACGCATGCATGTGTGCACATGGGCGTACACACGTGATCACCACCTACAAAATTATCAGGAATTGATAGGGTGGACAAAGACAAACTATTTAGCACGGGTGGAACACAAATAAGGGGACACAGGTGGAAACTAGTTACCCAAATGAGTCACAGACACATTAGAAAGAATTTTTTCAGCATCAGGGTCGTTAACAAATGGAATGCATTAGGCAATTATGTGGTGGAAGCAGCCCAATAGGCTCAGGAATCTGTACACCAGTTGATCGACAAATGAGAGGCGGGACCAGAGAGCCGAATCTCAACCCTCGCAAGCACAACTAGGTGGGTATGACTCACAAATATCTTCTAGCTAATATTTTTGACTGTCCCATCATGTATTTCTTTTATCCGTGTCCCAGACACATAACTTAAGACACACATCTTCAAATCTGTTCTTTGATACTACAGTATAAATTTTTGTGTTAGGCTATAAAGTGGCATGTTTTACATATAACATGCTCTACCAATCAGTTACGGTAAAGTTCAGAATTACTGGTGGGTGTACTGGAGGATGGCTTCCCATCTGATGAGGTGAAGGGTGACAAGCACTGCACCACAGGTTACTGTAAATATTACCTGTCGGCATGTCAAGACAACTGTGAAACGGTAATAAAGATTATTTTTGTAAGGTATAATAATCCATTACTAATAGGCTCTTACCAACTGTTATTGCAAGACTCTACATTCAGAATATGTTTATTATTTCACTGTACAGCGAGACCTATAATGGATGGTGGAGAAGTCAAATTAGTGCTTGAGGGGTTTGGTCAAGGCTTCTCTATGTTGCTTTTCCCACAAGTATTTACTCTGGGGAAAATTAATATTAAATAGTAAATGATAATTGGAAAAAGGTTTTTTATAGCTGAATTTTAAAAGAATATCAAGAAATGATTGTACGTGTTTACATAATATTTGGAATTATTAACTTCATACAAGTCAGCTTTAAAAGTGTGGCACATTTGTGTCAGCTTAATGCACCATGTGTGTGTGTTTACATAATAGTACACACAATGTGTTACCCTTTTACTTAGTGTCTCTATGTACTTTGATTATATAATTAAGTAGTCCAATATAATATTTACGAAACAGTTGAGTCTATCTTCATTATCTTCCTTTATAGAGCCGAGAGCTCACTTTCCTAAGTAACCAGCTATACAGAATTTTCCCAAAATATTCAGGCACTATTTGCAAACTTTTTTTTTTTTTAAACATTAACTAAAGAATTATACATGATACCTTTGGTCTCAATTATATTTGTTTTGCAAATGAGTGCATAAGCTGGAAAAGTTCTTGGAGCTCAGCTGACCATCTACCTTTTCACTGAATAAAGTGTATGAGAATGCCCTGGTCGTTATCACAAAACATGGAAAAATCATTCAATTTTCGTACAGAAATTAAGGAAAGTGAATTTGGACACTGAAAAGTGTATATGATCCTTCAGAATACTGTATACTGTCAGGTGGACACACAAATGCTAAATCTAATAATGCAGTCCTAGACATTTTTGGATTATCCCCATTTTTTATACTTAAATTAGCATTTACAGATTCTGTACACTGTATTTAGTAAAAAAGGATAATAAATTACTGTTTCAAACTTTGTGTATTATTTCCACCTTGAAACTGATTTTGCCGAGGTCAATATGACCAAAAAATGGGTCCTTGTTCACAAATAATGACTAACCTACAACTTGGTCCACTCCTCAGTGGTGTATGGCTTGCTATCAGGTTTTTGTTCTGTGTCACATGCCTGCCATAACAGCTTTGTAATTACATACATAATCAATATAATGACACGGGTACTTTGGATAGGAGCAAACACTGATATCAGATCATGTCTTAATGGCTGCTGAGAACACATTCAGCTGAAGATAACACAAGTTGCTCTAAACATTTACAAAAACAAATATTAATGTTTCAGATTTTTCCCTTTGAAACTTAAAAGCAACGTAATGACATAAAACAATAGAAACAAATGCTTAGTTAAAAGATAAATGTCTGTCATTTCATCCTCGCACTTCGACCATCTTCGTACTATGATCAACCACGTACATTTATCATTTTTGTACTTTGATCACAAGGAACTTGGCTACCTGGTTACTGAAGGTGTCCACTGACCACTAGCCAGCTATGAATTTCTATACGTTCATAAATCATTCACAAGCCAGCCATCAACGTTAACCTGCTGACCAACGAGCCAGTAATCAGGGAGTATATCAACAGTGGCTACTTGCTCATCACCAGCTAATCACAAGCCAGTCATCACTGGTCATTAATGTATGGCACCACTGATCACAATACCTATTCATTTAATAAAATAAAAATTAACTCTTTTATGAGCGTATTTCTGTAACCCACAAGAGAAATATTAACACCTGTGAGACAAATCTTACTGATTTTATATCATTGTCGATAAAAATATCTGCTATTGGATGCTAACACACCAGCATTTTCCATAAAAATGAAAGCGATGACTGGAGCTTTTTCAATATCCGGGAGTTCAGTTCAAGGAATATTCAGAGTCCATTTTCATTTGCCGTTGGGTTCATTTCAATTTGTTTCGTCACATTTCACTACTGTACTGTTGTTCAAAATAATGCTATTCCTTAATCAAGGGATTTGCAAGTTTCTCTGAAAAAGACTTATCAATATTAGGTCTTTTACGAAGTCACAGTTTCATCCAGTCTGGCTCTCTTAGAATTGTCAGTGTTACCATCATCATGTGCGTGTGAGCGCGAGGTGGCCACACGCCACTCCAGTGAGTTGTACAGCAAGTCAACATCTTTGGGGCTGCCCTGAAATACACGGAAATTTATAATTGATTAGAAATTTTAAATATTGTAAATTAAGGAGATTTAGAATCCCACATTATATATAAAATTAATGTGCGAAATATGCACTTGCCTAATTATGCTCGAGGGGCTTGGGCTTAAGGTTTTTGGTCCTGCATCTCAACTATCAATCAACTGATATATAGGATATCCTTTCATCAAAATAAAAACGCACACCATTAGATGCAGAGGCATTTAAAAATTTGTAGTGGCATTCATAAGCGCTCTAATGATTATGTTCTACACACACTATCATCACCGTGTTTCCCCAATTTGTTGGGTAATTACCCAAGTGTAGTTACAGGATGAGAGCTACGCTTGTGATGTTCCATCTTCCCAGTACTCTTTGTCATATAATGCTTTAAACGGATGCAGAGGCATCAATGAGGAGAACAAGTTAATATAGTAAAAGTGTTAAAGATATAAAATAATACATAAAATCACAGGTAGACAACCACTGCTGCAATTCGGAGGTCATCCATAGCAGAAATTCGCTGCTTTGTAAGGCCAGGTACACAGTGATCCTCGTGATTTGTTATACTGTATAATTATATACAATTTGTATTTACTCCCTTCTTACAAACCGTTGCCAACTATCCTCATCGTGCACCACATCTTGTGTTTGTCTACACATTTCCACCTTACCTTGAGTTTACCTTGAGGTGCTTCCGGGGCTTAGCGTCCCCGCGGCCCGGTCGTCGACCAGGCCTCCTGGGGCCCTCCTGAAGTAACCTTCCTAACACTTACTACTCTTCTTCCTATCCTCAAATGCAATTGACTTCACTCTCCTCCAGTTTACCAACATTTATTTGTAGAATGTGCTCAAGTTATATCTGTATACTTTCCGAGACTTACAGTTTATTGGCTTAATGACTCCACATTTATAACAAATTTGTATTCCTTGGTATATCTACTCTGGTATATTAAAGATAATTATTCATAATAGAAAACATCACAAAACAAGTGCAACAGTCTCCTTCCAAAGAAAAATCTATACTGGTAGTTTAGTCTTGATGCCATCATAATTGAAGTGAATTACCACTCCTTACATAATTTGTCTACAGACACCTGCATCACCATTGTCACCAGGCACCAAAAGAGAAGAATGGAAGAGAATGATGCAAACTATAATAATCAATCATTTCCATACCATGACAAGGAAGATTTTAGGCTGACCATCTGCATCAAGCGCCGTAAATCTTACACTTTTGCTGCTTGCTCGTTCAATTGACATCTCTGCCCAAACCTGAAAAGAAATCAGAAATCACCTACCACCCTTTTCCTAAACAAAACAATTATTAAATTAGCAAGACTTTTTGTACTACTGTAAATTCAATTATAAGAAAACAGACACTCTCATTTAAGAGTTACTTTTAATATTATACCCATCCTCCTGTTAAATAGTACTTTTTTGTAACTATATGCACAAGAGTACAAACATTGATGTACTAAGCAATTAGATACTAGCACTTACTTCTTTATAAGTCCAAAAAAATGACACTAAAAAACAAACTTAAAATATTCCAGGGCCTAGAATACCACAAACGTGTACTATATTAATCCTCAGATAGCATGTATTAGACCTAGGAAAATTAGATTAGCTTAGTTTGTCTTTGCAACTCAAGCAGAAAATTGTTTTCTGGTTTGTCCAAATTTAATAGTACCAATTTCTATTTTCTAATTACAGTATGTTATACATCTGTATACATACTGTAGTCATCATCCTTCCTATAAGTACTATCAAAACAGAAGGATGGGCTGAATATTCAGGATATGAAATCAACTAACTATAATAAATAAATAAATAAATAAATAAATATATATATATATATATATATATATATATATGTCGTACCTAGTAGCCAGAACTCACTTCTCGGCCTACAATTCAAGGCCCGATTTGCCTAATAAGCCAAGTTTTCTTGAATTAATATATTTACTATAATTTTTTTCTTATGAAATGATAAAGCTACCCTTTTCACTATGTATGAGGTCAATTTTTTTTTATTGGAGTTAAAATTAACGTAGATATATGACCGAACCTAACCAACCCTACCTAACTTAACCTAACCTATATATATAGGTAAGGTTAGGTTAGGTAGCCAAAAAAAGCTAGGTTAGGTTAGGTTAGGTAGGTTAGGTTGACGAAAAAACATTAATTCATGAAAACTTGGCTTATTAGGCAAATCGGGCCTTGCATAGTAGGCTGAGAAGTGAGTTCTGGCTACTAGGTACGACATATATATATATATATATATATATATATATATATATATATATATATATATATATGTCGTACCTAATAGCCAGAACGTACTTCTCAGCCTACTATGCAAGGCCCAATTTGCCTAATAAGCCAAGTTTTTATGAATTAATTGCTTTTCGACTACCTAACCTACCTAACCTAACCTAACTTTTTCAGCTACCTAACCTAACCTAACCTATAAAGGTAGGTTAGGTTAGGTTAGGTAGGGTTGGTTAGGTTCGGTCATATATCTACGTTATTTTTAACTCCAATAAAAAAAAATTGACCTCATACATAATGAAATGGGTAGTTTTATCATTTCATAAGAAAAAAATTAGAGAAAATATATTAATTCAGGAAAACTTAGCTTATTAGGCAAATCGGGCCTTGCATAGTAGGCCAAAAAGTGCGTTCAGGCTACTAGGTACGACATATATATATATATATATATATATATATATATATATATAAAATAAAGAGCATGCTACCACCAGTGTTCATACAAATATCAATCAATGGAAAGGCACACATCATCACATTTATTATATACAAAAATGTATTTACCTTAGTATTGAGCATTACAGTTAGTGTTCCTTGTGTACGGATAACAAGACGGGAGTGAATCTCCTTTTCTTCATCCCAGTCATTAAGGCGGAGGATGCCCCGCCCCCTCTCCTGCCACGACCCATTCACCCAGGCGTACAGCTTACAATTCATCTGAAGTAACACACACACAAACTTTGAATTAATATGTAATTAGCATAACCATTACCATTTCAGCAAATATTCCAAAGACAAGAGATCATGTATTTAACAAACTATTACTGTACATTTTTGTAAACTTTCACGTTTAAGCAGTATTTTTAGGCTTAAATTGAAAGAAATCTGCTAAGTATTTTATCTTTAATTTTCCACTGATGATTTGCTAAAAATATAAGTAATATTGGAAAGTTGGCAATTATTCTTTCACTTTTATTTTTTTACTGTTAAAACTTAAAACATTCAGCTTAATGGAATAAAAGTCATTGCAATGTGTATGTAAGCTATTTAAATCACAAGTTGTTGCTATCCCTATGGGGAAGACCTAACAACTACTAGAGGGTGGGGGAGTAATTTTCAAGAAGCATACGAGATATTATAAAGCGTGGATATTCACGCTTCTGATACCAAGGGGCCACACACAGCAATGTACTACAATGCATTCTATAAAGAAGGCCAATACTATTACTAAACACTTAAGCATTCTGATGACAATAAAATGTGCCATCCATACTCCAACAGTAATTGTGTTCATGACGCTAAATCAAGTCACCCATCTCAAAATTACCAAAACTCATTTTTTGTTTATATAAAAAAAATTATCTTCCATTTTTTTGGAGCAGAGTGCATGAATAACTTATCAGGGGACCATCAGCAATCACATCAGCCAAGTTTTTATTATTTTGAAAATTATATAAGGAATGTTGAAATTTTCATACAAATTTGTACATCCCACACTATCCTGCATAATTACACAAATATTTTGTATAACATATTTACTCTACCAAATTAATTTCCAAACATTTTGAAACCAAATTTAGTTATAGATCAACTGAAAAAACATAAAAAAAAGATAAATCTTTTGGTCATTTCTGAGCAGGACCCTTAGATGCCCAGAACATTAATGGTTGGAAATGTGCCAACAATCCAGAACATTAAAATACTGAGCACCATTAGATTTAGAACCAACCTGTAATACGTTTGATTCGCTCTCTTCGCCTGTGATAACTTCTACGTGATCAAATTTACGTTTTTGGCTTTTCTCCTTCTCTGTCAGTTCCCGTGATGACTCCTCCAGGGATTGTCCAGTCGTCCAGGTACTTTCCTCATTTGGCTGAAAAATGAGACTATTTTACTAGAAGAAATATGAAGCAAGGGAGGTGATGTGGAAAGCAATAATCATCATAGCATTTTCCACTTCCATAGGAAAGGGAGGCATCAGCTCAAAGAAGATAGAAGAGCAGTACAGGAAAAGTTCAAGATGCAGTACTTCAAATGAACAAATCCACAAGGGCTGTGATGAGGGTTCGAACCTATGTCCGGGATGATCCCAGACGCGCTTTAGTCAATTGCAGTACTGTACTTCAAATTATTACACATCCATTCAATAACCATATTTTCTATGTTACGTAGTATCCACCATTTCAAATAACTAGGTTCAGAAGTATTTATTTCAACCCTGAAAACACAAACCGAAACTGTCTCTATTTTCCGCTTGTTACAACTTGTAATACAGTTGTTACATCTTGGCTTAACGTGTTTATGACGTATTAGAACATTGTTACAACTTGCTATATTGGTTGTTATAACTGGTTAGGAGGTGTTAAAACTTGTTCAAACTTTGTACCAACGTCGTAGTTTCGGTGTGTGTTTGACGGGAAGTTGTCACTGTATATTATCTTCAACATTCATTCAACTAAATCAATTGAAAGCTAAAAATTCAGACACAAACAAATTACCCATTTGTTCATTAGAAACTAGATAATTAAATTACTGTTTATGACGAGAATGTCATAAAATAAATTGAAAGTCAACAAATACATTGTTTTCATCATCTAAATACACTGTACAAATAATTGCACAAATTAAGTAACGTAAATAGAACATAAACAGCAAAACATAAAATGTCTAAATTTGGTTATTTTAAAAAATCATTAAAGAATACAATTATGGAAAGGTTCCTGTACTGGATCGCTTCACAAAAAGTAATGAGAGAACACTGTTACAAACCAGGTATTTAACTGATTCTCACTATTGTTAATGTATGCATAATTATTTATTCATCCCACCTCAGTTTGCCATATATAATAAAATTACCATATTATGTTTTACAGTGCATAAATACCGTTTTATTATATTTTAATTTGGCATGTTCTGTTTTGCCATTGTATTGTAGAATTGTATTCTATTGTATGAGAAGTATCAGTGGTGCGGGCTGTACGAGTGGTCAGGTACTAGACGGGACCCCGGACGTGCACAGTTGCGTGGAGCATTATTGTTATCAGTTCTGTTTCATCAGTCATAATTGTTTTCCTTAGGTGAATATAGGATAATATATGTACAGTATAATATATATGAATATAGGAGTGTGTAGGATATTACATACTCGTGTGTTTAGGTGTTTGAGTGTGCTTTCTCAGTATGTAAGTGTGTTTGTTAAGAGTTCTTGCCAGTCGGTTTTGGCAACTGTATTCCTGGTCGGTTGAGCATGTCAGTCTGCGGTGGCGGAGTGAGCAGTCGCAAGTTGTGGTCAGAGTGGACTGGATGTGTACTAAGTTAGGTTGTTGGTTTTTTTTATTGTGCTTAGGTGTTGTTAGTCTGCCATTATATATATTTAATTCAGATGCCATAACAATATATTGTGTGTCAGTGGTCATCAGCCCAGTATAATTAATTCTGTGGTGTGTGCCATGTCACATTTTCTGGTAATAATTTTGGTGTCCTGACCAGACCACGGGGACGCTAAGCCCCGAAATCATCTCAAGATAACCCCCGAGTAAACTGGTGTTCCCATTTTTCTGTAATGAACCTTTGACATTATTGATGTGTGATAGGCTTATGGGATATTTTGAGAAATGTGACGGGAACACGAGCCCAGCTCAAGTGCGTAGGGGCAACAAACACAAAACGGGAAACGTATGCACTCGCACTGTGATACTTGGTCTTAATGGAGTTGAAATGAACACTGTATGAAGTATATACAACAAATTAAAAATAAAGCAAGCCTAAATGTTGTACAGTGAAGAAGTTAGCAGTCTCAGTTAATACATGATATATAATTTCCTTACCAAAGAAATTTCTGAGGCAGCATCTGTAAACAGGTTCCCAGTAAGTGGCCTGCCATTGGTAGTGGCAGAGCTGCTGGCCGAATCTGCAGACTATATAGCCTCTCATTAGTAGCTACACAAAACATAATTGTCTTCTTCAGTATTCACTTTATTAATGAATGCAAAAGATGAACTGCACAAAATACATGCCAAGAACAAGCTAAAATACAGCCACTTGCTAAAAATTCTGCAGTGCATACAGACGAGTTTTGATTATGATTATCTTTGCATCGTGATTATTTTTCATTATATACCAAACAATATCATTAGTGTAAATGTGTTTCAGCAATCTATTACGTGGCAACACCCTGGTGTATTAGTTAGCACCCATACCAAACAGACTTTCCAGCAAAAACACCCTGGGTTTGAATCCCAGACAGGGTGTGACTGCTGGGCACCATTCCTCTACTACTCACTCAAGACAATTTATGTATACTGTATACATATTTATGTATACTGTATACATATTTATGTATACTGTACCCTTGTACACCCACCACAGATTGCACAGCTAGATGTAAAATGATTGGCATAATGTGTTCGAGGGAAAACATGCTGTTTTAACCTATCCATTTCCAGCACCTGAGACTTGACTCCCAACAAAAGTGTCATCATATCTCACAACACAAAAACTTGTATAATGAGTAGAGTACAATGATTGATGGATGATGTTACAAGGTGTTGTCATGAGCACAGGTAGCATTATGCCCATAGGCTAATGTAATGAGCATATGATTCTGTGGAAAGGGGAAGAGGAGGGGTAGTGTTGTGGTGGTATAGTGAAGGTGTGGTAGTATAGTGATGTTTTGGTAGTGTAGTGTAGTGGTTGGTGTTGTGATGGTGGTGTCTGTTTACCTGGTTATGTCTACAGTAAATGAAAACCAGCTCTGTCTCACAGCAATTGTGCCTGACGTATTAAGACCTCCTGACAATCCTGTACCGTGTTATACTTGCTCCTGAAGTTATGAAAGGAGATGGCTTTCGCTACTACTGCCTCAAGCTCATTCCATTTATTTACCACATTCACTGAACAATAGTATTTTCTTACATCTATCTGGCTGATCTGTGTTTCTAACTTCTGCGTGTGTCCCCTCATTCCGTTTTCTATCACTGGGAAAAGACCATCTCTCTCCAGTATCTCACTCAGTACATTGTGTTGTGATCTTATTACCTGTGGTCCTATTCTTTTCATGTCATTAGATTAATTTCCTATTCTCGTGTCATTAGATTAATTTCTCTCAGTCTGTTACTGTAGCTCAACATTGGGTACTATCCTTGTTCCCAATGCATTTTTATATTTTCTTTATGTGATTTACCTGGTGTGGATTCTAAGTTGTACTGCATATTCTGAAACTGATTTAATATATGGTGTGTTTATTTATTTTAAAGACTTCCTGCTTAAGATCCTCATGTTAAAAAATTTACAAATGCTGCTAAGGCTACTTGCTTTATGCAGGTCAAGTGTGTGTCAATGTGTTCCTTTTCCTTTATTTGTTCTTGAAACTACCTCCCACATATGGTGTACCGGTCTCCTGGCTGCAGTCTGCCTTTCCCAAAACATTATTACATTTGTTGGGAATAAACTTAAATACCCACTTGTTTGCTGAAATATAAGTAGCTATCCCTATGTCATTTACATAAAATATAAGTGATCAAGGTACAAAACCCTGCACAATCCTGACTCTTCCTCTCTTCATGCAACCCTGTTTCCCATTTGTCCAATAATCACTGATCCAATCTAGTATCTTCTCAGTTACCCTATACTACTTTTCCAACCTTTGTAATCGGCCTTTTATTTGGGAACATGTTAAAAAGACTTCTGGGCAACCTAGAAAGATGCAATCCACCGTTTTTTCTCTAATGACGTTTCCTGGCAACCTTATCGTAGAGCTCGATCAGGTTCACCAGCCACTATCCCTTTCTAAAACAGTGCTGTCTCTTGAATGTAGAATTTTGTCACTAACCACTGACAAAAGAAAATGCCCAACCCCCCCACCTCCCTGCAGTAGCTCTAAACCCACCCATAATGCCTTTCTTATACTCATCTCCATATGGGACACTATCCACTTTGATTATTTTCACCTGAATTTTGGAAGGCATAGTAGACTCTTGGCTTACAAATTTAATTCGTTCCAAGAGACGGTTTGTACACTGAAAATTCGTAAACCGAAATAAATTTTCCCATAAGAAATACTGTAATGCAAACTGAATTAATCAGTTCCACACACCCAAAAATATTAACTTAAAAATACATTTTATACAGAATACTACTCATATTTTTTTCTATACAGGTACCTTACCTTTATTGAGAACTCTTGGTGTATGGAAGACGGTGAGAAGAGGAGGTGTTAATGTTTGGAAGTGGAGTCTCCTTCCATTTTAACAACAGGCACTGATGAAATTTATGGGGTACTCTCACCTACATTTTGCAGTACCACCACTAGGACCTGATTTGTGGCTCACTATGTGCTTGTCTTACTAAGAATCTGTTTAAAGACACTTGTTTTTTTCCTACATGTTAACACTTGTCTGTAGTGAGACATCACATTGTCATTAAAAAGCTTAATGCAACGGCCTGCTACAGCTTTATCTGGGAGAGTTTTTCAGCAAAACTTTGCAGTTCTTCCCATACTGCACATATTTTCTTAATGAGGAAGGGTTATTCTCTACTGTCTCCACTCACAACTACTGTATTTTCTTAGGTTGAACTTTACCACTGATTTTCTTGGGACCCATGGCATGATATATATTAAGAACTTTTATGTTCAGAAACAAAAAAATAAGCAAAAATTATTCACAAAGAATTCAAGCGGTGTCATCAGTGGGCAGGATACACTGGTAAACTGAGCTTATCAGCAAATTAAAATAAACTAAATAAAGAGAGAAACAATGAAAATAAGTCATCATAGTTATTACCATGAGGCACCTCACCTCATTTCTACCCAGAAAAATACAACTTCTCCAGGCCACTACCGCTAAACCCCAAGAGCTACACACTTTTGACTTAGATTTTGGTGCCTGGAGGCTAATTAACAATGTCAAAAACAAAATTTTTTTTTATCAATTCTTACTTGCGCACTATGGGGATGTCAGCATTTAACAGCTGTGCCATTAAGGGTTAAACACTCAATCCTATACGTCGTGTTTCTGGATCATGGTCTTGCCTGTATAGTACCTGTTTGCAATGGTGGTGATGGGGGGGGCGGGGATACTACTGCCTTCATTTGCATTTAGTCTTATCAATGTTCATTCTTTCCTCTTCCGTCTTGTCTATGCACACGTCATTCAAAATATCTGCTTGCAACCCCTCACTTTACCTTTTTTTTTTTTAGTCAGTACGTGTCCCACTAGCACCCCCCTTCCCCGGCACCAAGTTCAAATGTAAGTTTGATCAGTCACACCTACCCTGCTTGATATCATCCAATCCTACCAGTCTTCTCTATCTCGTATACATACAGAATAACATCGAATCAGAGGTGCTGGAAGCAACCACCATATAGAATTCTAGGAGCAAGTATGATAGTGTTGTAAAGTCAGATGTAAATACACAAGGTGAAAGAGATACAAGGTCGAGCTCTAGAACTGCACTTCACCCCTCACAGACCACCTGGTAAGCCTACACACACACAATTACTGTAGATAATTTGACAACCTTCCATCAACTGGCCAGACCAAGCCAACAGAACTATCAGACAATAGAAAGTAATGATACTAATTGTACAAACATAAGTAAACACATCTTGCCACATTTACCCCATTTTAAACTAACACAGCAGCCATATCTTTACCTAGTGTGATAATAAATATTTATTATGACCACATTCCTTACCCGTGAGATTTCACTGGCAGCTTCTGAAAAAAGGTTGGTAGTCTGTTTCTCTCCATTAGTGGTCCCTGCAGCATCAGATGAGGATGTGACTGAACTTTCCGCACCCTGAGAAGGTAACAAAGCATCCAGGTTATATTCTACATGTACTAACACAGCACTAGTAGAGATCAATAACAGTAAGGATATAAACTTAAGGAAAAGGCCAAGGGCATCACAACAAGCTTCACAACTCAAGCTTGGAGTCCAAATGCATTCAAGATAAAAATCTCGAGGAGTGTATCACAATCAAAATTACAAAAATGATGCAAGATAAGACTCAATCAAAATAAAGAGGATAAAAGCTGGTGACTTTGTTCAAACTTTCAGAACACAAGCTGGGAGATTTAATACAAATCAGGAAATAAAACTAGAGGGTTTCATCAGCCTTAGAATAAAGGTTGAGCTGTTAAAAGTTGATGACACATGCTTGTGTTCTAAAAGCAATCTATCGATTAAAGATTACAAATGCAGTCTTAAACCCCTAACATTAGGCACGCTACTTTACCCGAGGTAATTAACCTATTTTACCCCACTCACCATCGTATAAATGTTATATTTCACTAAATTGGAATTGGCCTGCTATCTTTGCTGTACATTTACAAGATGTATAGATGCAACTAGAATACATAATATTAAATCTGTTAAAACATTCTGCATTGGCAAAACAACATCTCCACAAGTTCTACCACTCCAGATAGATGCCTTTCTAAATTTTGCAAAGATAACTTTGTTTAGATCTGCATCACCTGCCTTGCCTTATTCAGACCAGTTACTGATGGCAACTAACTGCTAAACCTGCCTGAATTACCCCGTTTTCCAGTAAATAAGCCACATCTTTCACACACCTGGGAAAGACAATTTTGGCATGTCTCATCATTTACTGACAGTCACATTCCAAGTGATTTTGTAGGGAGAAACATAATGTTGTGTACATAACGGCAACGAGAGTATACTAGAGTACTGTATACTGTATGAGGGTAATTCGTAAACCTTGAACTGGCTACCAGCTCGGTGCATCCAGACTCCTAATGGATTCGACCAAATCGCAAGTTATATAATCTTCCGCACATGAGTTAAACCATCACGTTTAACTTCCAATATGTTAGGCACTAGCTACACTGTCCATCAATAAAACATCCCTACACACAAAAATAGCAAAGGCAAATAAAATAATGGAATTTAAGAGCAGTAATCTCTTTTCCACTAAACAGCATCTCTACTGTATAATATTTCACCACATGTAGATGGGAAAAATGTTATATAAATGTATAATACATGATATGTTAAAGTAACAAAAGGTTGACAGCAAAGTAAAGCCTTAACACATACTATCCCATCTTACATACAGCAAAAAGTCACCTTCAATAATTATGCAAAAATTTATGGTTGGGGGGAAGGAAGGAACTATCTGGGGAAAGCGCCAAGCCATTACGATTATATAGCACTTGGAAGGGGTCAGGATAAGGATTTGGGATGGGACAGGGGGAAAGGAATGGTGGGGGGGGGAGGGGATGGAAGATTCCTTTCTCCATGATGTCCACAGGTGATGCACGTCTTCATATTTTGACACTTCAACTTGTCCTCGGTGAGTGTTTGTAAGACCAGTACTGAATTCAAGATGATTTACAAAACTTCAATGACCCAGATGGGTATACTGACTGTCAGCTGTCAGTGTTAAGGATATATACATATAGCTTCTTAGAACAAGAGAGTACTCTATATTACTTTACTGTAAATACTTGTTAATACTGTAATTACACATATGTGAAATGAGAATATACTAATTTAATATACTGTACTCCCAATCATCAAGAAGATAAATATATATATGAATGACTTCTTATAACACAAAGAAATACGACTTACTGTTTAAGATGTATAGCAGCAACATCACCGAGGAGTATGCAGACTTTCTAGAAATTAATCTAATCTACTAAACTAAGCTGACAAGCTAAAAAAAAAAAACTGCAGCAAAACTGCAAATAGTTTATACAGCTATCTAAGATATAGCTTACTGCATGTGAATTTCTAGCCAGTTCAGAAGAGATATACATAGATATCTATTCATCAATCTTACTCCATTCCCAAATGATTGGGGTGGAACAAGTGCACCAAGCCAGGAGGCTTTCAGGACCTACACACCCCTTTCACTTGCCTTTTACAACATGCAAGGTAAGATTAAACAACCCTCACAATACTCTTATAAGTAGAAAAAAACGTGATTATAAAGACTTACAAACACTACATTCTATCTATATAAGATCTATCTATATAAGATCTCAAGAACATGCTATTTTCATTCATACTACTATTTTTACAACTATTTAAACATTAGTAAGATAGGTGAACTACTTAACCTGCTGCGACTGTGTCAAAACATACTATACCAGTACTGATACACAGTAAATGCTTGAGAAGCATATAGCAGGAGAAGAAAGCTTAATCTATCAGCCATCGATATGACTGAAAAGCAAAGTACTACTTTAAAAATATATATATTGTATATATGTGTGTATATTATTTTATATATATATATATATTACACATATATATATATACACACACACACACACAGTATTCAATAGTTAAAACTACTAGCCGTTCACACACACGGCACTACAGTACAATACCGTCCTGGGTTGGTTCTACCACCCTAGCATAACACTACCTCTTTGGGATGATGCTTCTTCATAGGTACGATGCCTTCTAATTCATTGGGAAATCCCATGATACATGTCTTTATCTTGATGAAATTTTCTTTGCTATAATAATAATATTGAAATGGGTGCTGAAGGTGCTGATAACTCACTGCTTGATATACAAAGAATAGAATGGTGCACTACTCACAGCAACTTTAGACTGCAGGTTCTGCCCAAAGATGAAGTTGTTGTTACCTAGGTTGGGACTTGCAGAGCTGCCGGGAGAAGTTTGCACCTTTAAAATCTTGAAGCACGATGTGCTTTACCAATACTACGAGATATGTCCTAATCACATGATAAATTTCCTAAAAAGTGTCTTGATTAATTTTTTCTACAATTTCCAATCATAACTAATAATATATAAATATTCTATACAATTTCTGTCTTGTTTAATCTAATTTTTAATCACAGACTAGCTACAGTAAACTAACGCTACCTATGACATAAAAACCCTCGATAGGTTAAAATATACAACCCTGTTTTTGAGCCTTACCTATCTTTATCGTCTCCATTACGTGCGAGAGGTAGAAACAAATTTCTTGAACTACTGCTGGAGGTGGTGTTGCTGGATGTGTTACTGTCATTGCTGTTGTTTGTGTGAAGCTCAACGGAAAGAGGACGAGCTCCTCTTCTTTCTTTCATCCCAGAGCACGTCGCTCGAGATACGTGCGAGGATGCCATCGGAGTTGACGAAGACACATGTTGGCCAGAGATTTGAAAGGGTTCGGCAGCTGTTCCTGAAACTCTGTCCTCTGATCCACTGGCCGAGTCTACTTTTTCTCCAGAATCAGTTGGAGCTAGAAGAAAACAGTTTCCGGGTCTAAGCACATTGGTAGAACAGCACTTCTTATAGCATTCATGAATCTTGTTAGTAGTTGATCTTACTATTTGCCTGTACCTATATATCCACCTATTCAAATCCCCAACATAACTTAGTGACTTATGCATGTACACTCTCATACCATTTGCACTGGTTCTCCATCACTATATAAACCATCAAACTGAACACTCCTTCACATTGCCAACATTACTGATACAGTTCAATACGGTACCTTAATTTTTAATATACCATGTTATTCATCTCTAAATCATTTAAAATTCACAGTGCAACATACAGTGATCCACACATAACCTCCTCTACAAACCACACACTATTTGCAGTCAAACAATATGCAAAGGCATTCAAAATAATCTGATACAACCCCGTGATATATCACGGGGATAATCGAGTCTAATCACGTCTAATCAAATCAAATTCATTCATTTTTGGTTTTAACAATACAAATACCTAAATATCAAATAACCTTAATAAACTAATTACAAAAATGAGAATTATATTGCTTGAGGTTGTGCAGAAAAATTATTTTATTAATCATCCTATTTCTAATAAAATCTAAATGAGTTCATATACATACTACTTGAAAATGGATTAGAAGTCCTCAACACCGATGGTTTCAGTTTAAATTCTGACTTGGCTGACTGCGGTGGGGATGAACCGGTGACAGTTAGGGTTGGAGGCGTGAAGAGACTAGAAGTGCCACGAATGGAGCTAACTACTCTGCTTGGACCTAAGGCCGACGCTCGAATTATTGAGGGTCCACCTGTTGAGAAAAAACTCTATAGTTATGAGAACTCTCGTATGATTGTCAGCGGGCTCGTCACTACAGTACAGTATATGAAATATTAACTAACAGTTGTTAAGAATTGTTTGACCAATATGTACCACACACACTTATCATCCCAAATATACAACTTTGTTTCAGGCATTAGCCAACAATTACTCAAAATATTTGTATATGATTACTGTATCACAATTATTAATTCAGTACAGTATTAAATTCATAGTTAACTGCACAATATTGAATTACAACAATATTAAAATAATAACTTGCATTACTCTGTAATAGATTACTTTATAAAATTCTGCAATAATAAGCTATATGAATAGACAAGTGCCTCACCTGAATCTGTATGTGGACTTAGTTTTGGCGGGGCCAGAATGGGCCGATGATCGGAAGACTCTGAGCCCCAGGTGCCCTGAGGAGTCGCTCTGGCAAAGGGGTTTCCCATGCCCGTGCTGGCAAGAGTTGTGACTGTTGAGGTACTATGAGGTGATGACAGTGAAGACACTTTGTTGTTACTATTGTTGCTGCTGTTGCTGCTGCTGTCTACACTGCTGCTGCACGCACTGCTCCCATCACCTGCAACACCAATACCAAATTATTACAATGCTAATTAAATAGGTCAATTAGGAGTATATACAGAGAAATTAAGTCATTCCACATTTGTATGCGTATGGAACAGAAATATCGCGTGCAGCCAATAGTAGTACAGTATTAATGATACAGTATTTACAAAACGTTAAAAATGCAAAAGGCTTGGAACACTAACCTGTGATTCTGTATGTATTCAAAATTATACTAACAAATAATATTACATCAATTAACACCTTGTAAATAAAAGTAGACTATCAAGGGATAATACAGTAATAAATTTGAAGGCTGTGCCTGCACACGATAAAGTTCGTCACATTGCAATAATTACGTATAGAGGCATATTCAGTGCATTTCTTCTATCATATACTGTACTGTATATGCAAATTTTAATATAACATTTATAATGTAATCAAAGTCTGCAATTAACTAGGTCAGTGCACTACCCTTAACAGATTTAATTTTAATGTACTGTGCTTAACATTGTTAAGTGAAGGTGACCATTGGGGCTCTAGTGCCAACCGATAAATAGTAAGGGTTGTCACTTTATCGACCAATCCAAGTAGTGTCGGTAAGCAAATGTAATTTTTTTAAATAGTAGAAGTGAACACAAAGAATGCCTAACCAAAACCCAGGCCTCTTAGACCAATACAATATGACAATTTAGCTTTTTTTCACAGGTAAATCAGCAATGTCTTGGGCACTCTTGCATGGTATGCCTCAAACTCAATATGTGGCAAGTAACATGCTGTGCAAGGACTAGTAGTGTACTTTGTTTAGCACAACACAATAAAACTGAGGTCTATTCCTGTTCAGCCAAAAAATAGCACTAAAATGAACAGTGGTGCATCACCATTGTTGAAATAAAACTAATGCCTGTACTGTAATTTGAAGACAGGTGGGCACTAACCATGGTACAAGATAGTGTTGGGGCAGGGTGGGGTATGCTGATGATGGTGTGACAGGATCCTAGTGGAAGTGTGGCACACTGCCAGGGGTTGCTGAGAAGTACTGGGAGTGGAGAGGAGATGGCTGGTTTTTGTCCCCAGCCAGGCAAGACTCAACCAGTTTGACAGCTGGTTTACCTGTCATTACCCCCTAACCCCCTCTGCTTCCACTGCCAGCCCTCAACCACTACCTCTGCCTACACCTCGGCAAATAATCCTCCTTGCCCACCACTGCCTAAGGATCTTACACCTCCAGTATCACCATATGGTCCACCAACGACCTTCACCAGCACCTACCCTTGGCCCCTGCACCTCCAACACTGACCCAGACCCTTCTGTCATTCCATCATCATCACTGACCCTAATGTATATATTAACAAGGATATGTCTAAGGAGGTTAGGGAGACTGTGAACAAAATCAGGGAAGAAAAGCATATAAGAAATGAAAGATGACCAAGACACAACACAAACAGTCCACAAGAAGCTGGAAACCAGGCAATATAGACTACAACACAGCAAAATAGTAGGGCTGCCCAAGCCAGACCAAGGTACCCATCCAAAGGAGCAAGCAGCAGTTGTTAAATCAGCATACATCCTTTACCATATCAGGATTGGACAGTGAACAGCCAGAACCACTACCTCGTGAGCCAAACCAAAGAAGCCTAGTAGAGGTGAGTAGCATTAAAGCTATGTACATGTACACGAATACAGACGGATCTACCAATAAATATTTTCAAGAAAAGAATGCAGAAAACCAGCCACAAAATATTGCAATAATGGCAATGAAACTGACAAGTGTGAGAGAAAACACAATCTTTGAAGGATATCAGGTAATACGGAAGGAGAGGGTGAACAGGAGTAGGGGCGGTGTAACCCTGCTGCTTTACCTGCACTGCAGCTTTGACCACATAAAACTATCAGAGGAAACCGATAAGCAAAATTACACACTTGGGACATGAAAAAAGTGGTAGAAATGATCAACCCCCCCCAACCACCACCACCAAACAATAGTGTGCTTGAGGAAGAACGTGATAAATACATCGACACCTACCTAAAGGAAAGGAAAAGGTGGCTACGGAGACAAAGCAAGTGAGGGTGACAATTCCAATTACTGTATTGGGGGTTTTAAATCACAAGAAAAATTATGGTCTATCTGCATGAACTACAATCAGAGAGAGTACTAGAAGGATATTCAATAAATGATAACATGATATTTATTGCCAGGGAATGTGCAATGCCATGATGCAGCTGATCCCTTCATGAAGAAGGTGAATGAGAAAAGCAAGGTATACCCTTGGTTCAATGGACAGTACAGGGGCCAGAATGGAAGGACCACAAAAAAAGTTTGAAAAAACTGCAGTGAACTTGGAACGGGAGATAACAGACAGGCACTAAAGAGCCAGAAATGAGTAAACCCAGGTTAGGGAGGAAGCAAAGAAGAAATTTGAAAATGCCATAGAGCAAAATATAAAGACCAACCAAAGCTATTGTATTGCTGTACATTACAAGAACAACAACAGACAAAAGGCTGTAAATTATAAATCAGAGTCATTGACAATTATTCCATGTAATATGCTGGAGAAAATTAGCAGGATGAGTATCAGAATGAGAATAATGAAGCATCTAAAGAGGTCAGATATTTGTAAGAGGGCAACATGAACTTAAGAGGGGAAAGAGAGTCATGCCTGTGAGCTTCATGACTAGTAACTAAAATACAAGAAAAAGAAGGCTGGGGTCGACTGTGCCTTCTTTGACTGTTAAGAAGCACCTGTATTCAATGCCAAAAAAATGGTTGATGTAAAATTTTGAGAAACAATCCGGGATACCTAGGAAAACACTGAACAAGGTTCAGGAATATCTGAAAGATAGGAAATAAAAGATCATAGTGAGAAGGGTGTGTCGAGCAGGAGGGATATGACAAGTGGAAGTCCTCAAAGGCTCGGTCCTACGACCACTATATATCCTGATTTACATGAATGACTAACCCAAGGGAATGAGTGTACATGTCAATGCTTGCAGATGAAGTAAACTTACTGAGCAACGTAAAATATGAAGAACATAAAAATATTACAGGAAGACCTCAACAAACTTCAGGAATGGGCAGACGAATTGCTTCTGGAATTTAACCCCAACAAGTACAAGGTAATAAAGGTGGGAAAGGGAGAAGGAAAACCAGAGGGGGAAAAGGCAACTAAAGAAATCAAAGAAAAAGATTTAGGAGTGAATATACAGTACTATACGTGTAATTCCAACCCTAACACCAAAAGTGCACATAAAACAGGATAACGTAAGCAGCACACAAGAAGCTGACAAGCATTAGAATAAAAAATTGAAAACCTGAATACAAACAATTTATGCAATCAATGCATGACCAATAATGACCCAGGTTGGAAATGGCACTTCATGAAGGACAAAATTAAAAATGAAAAAGTACAGAAGTTTGTAGTAAGATTAGTGCTAGAACTAACAGGATTAAGTTATCACGATAGACTAAGGGAATAAATCTCGCAACCATAGAGTACGGATGAAAGAGGACATATGATTACAATATACAAGATACTGAGGGAAATAGCTACACTGACAAGGACAGCCTCTTTAAACCAAGAGAAAGTAAAACAGATATAGGTGGAAGCTTGAAATGCAAATGAGTCAAAGAAAAGTAAGGAAATGCTTACATTTCTGTGCGAGATCAGTAAAGGAATGCACTGAAAGACAACATCATGGAAGTCACCTCCATCCACAACTTTATGGCCAGATTTAACAAAGTTCTTCACTCTCTATGTGGCCAGATTTAACAGTGCTACTGGTATGAGTGGTATGAATGTTCATTCACAGGATGAATGATACTGCCCAATACTGTCACTATTGCAAATATTCACTCACAGGATTAGTGATTTTTGCCCAATACTGTCACTATGGTAGTATGTTCACTCACATGTACGGTAATGAAACTAGGAGGAGGAAATAGGAGGCCAGACACTAGGTACCAAATGCGAGATGAAGTCCTTAATGTAACGGACAGAGAGAAAGATCTAGGAATTGATATCACGCCAAACCTGACTCCTGAAGCCCACATCAAAAGAATAACATCAGCGGCCTATGCGAGGCTGGCTAACATCAGAACTGCTTTCAGAAACCTGTGTAATGAATCCTTCAGAACCTTGTTTATCACATACGTAAGGCCAATCCTGGAGTATGCAGGACACTTGGTGTTGTTCTTCATCTATATCTTGCTCTGGTTAGGCCCATTTAGATTATGCAGTTCAGTTTTGGTCGCCGTACTATAGAATGGATATAAATTCACTTGAACGTGTCCAGCGTAGGATGACAAAGTTAATTCCCCAAATTAGAAATCTTTCATATGAAGAAAGATTAACAAAGCTTAAATTGTATTCACTGGAAAGGCAAAGAGTTAGGGGTGACATGATAGAGGTTTACAAGTGAATGAATGGACATAACAGGGGGATATTAATAGGGTATTGAAAGTATCAACGCAAGACAGAACACGAAACAATGGGTATAAATTGGATAAGTTTAGATTTAAGAACATAAGAACAAAGGTAACTGCAGAAGGCCTATTGGCCCATACGAGGCAGCTCCCATCTACAACCACCCAATCCCACTCATATACATCGAGTTCAGACCGGCAGCGGTCCAGTCTGACACCACACACCACAAGGAGCATTGTGGTCACAATGCGACCCATACGTCTTAAGGTCAGAGCTACTCCACTTGACGATCATGCTATCGGGAGAAGCAATATTTTAAAGGTCCTGAAGGACGTTACTGGCCTCGAACCCGCTGACATTAGTCAGGAAGGTGAAGATATCGTGCTCTTCTTTGCATGTGAAGAGGAGCTAGAATAACTCCTGACTAACGATGCCTTTCTTCGTAAAGAGCACCACCTACATCCTCACTTCCCACGTCAGTTCCTGGCCGGAAGAACTGTTTTTACCAGCAGGACCAGCCAGTGGATCGCTGACCGACCTCAACATCATATCGAGGACGAAAATCCAAACTTGGCTGTATTCAACCTAGAGTTCTGCAACACCGACAAAACATCAATGAAGACTACGTTCACCACCATAGCTGCGGCCACCCAGGCTGCCACACAAGGATTCTACTGCTTCGGCTTACAAATACCACCCCACCAAATAAAAAAGGAACAATACCATGAGATCCAGCAGTGTTTTAAGTGCTACGAACTCTCCCACCCGACCAACAAGTGCCAGCGCCGTGTCCTGAAGTGCAGCCTGTGCGCACTGGACCATCACTACTCCATATGCAAGGCAACAGTCCATCGCTGCTTGCTCTGTGATGGCAATCACCCCCGCAATTTCCTACCGCTGCCCCCGCAGATTTAGGAAAGACTTGGATAAATACTGGTTCGGTAACAGGGTTGTTGACTTGTGGAACCAATTACCGCATAACGTGGTGGAAGTGGGGTCCCTCGATTGTTTCAAACCTGGGTTGGACATGTATATGAGTGGGATTGGGTGGTTATAAATAGGAGCTGCCTCGTATGGGCTAATAGGCCTTCTGCAGTTACCTTGTTCTTATGTATCATGTCAAGTGTTACAGTGAGAGGCAAGAGGGGCACAGATGGACGTGAGAGACAACACATGAGGTAAGAAACGCTGGTATACAGTGAGAGCTCCAAGCACACATGGGTGGCAACAGCCCCAGCTTTAAGAACAAGCACACTCGACAGTTGTGTGGGCCTGCAGGCTGCTCCAAGCACCAGACATTCAAATCAACTTATCCCGTAATAATCCTGGCCTGGCCTGGCCTGGCCTTAGGCCGGACCTGGAGAGTAGAACTCTCGACCAGGACTCTTGATAGACATGAGTGAGCTGAGCTCTCGAGCTCATCTCTAATATTCCCGTTGACTCAACTATACAAGAACGAGCAGAGGTGTTTACCAACATCCTCGGCTGTCATGCCAAATGTTATAGAAATGGACAGTTTTTGTTTTTAAATTGCTGAAGAGCTTTGGTCAGACGCCGAGCAAACCGGGACGAAGCGGATCAAACCGGCGGTAACCAGATCAAACCAGAGATCGGCGGACCACCCTCCGGATGAGCCTCGCAGGCCCCCAGGCCCTCACGCTCACTGCTGCCTAGTAGGGCCCCTTACACTGCCACTAAAGGGGGTCCCTCACACTCACTGGCACTTAGAAGGGCCCCTCACACTGTCACCAAAGGGGCCCTCACACTCACTGGCGCCTAGTAGGGGCCCCTTACACTGCCACTAAAGGTGTCCCTCACACTGGCGCCTAGAAGGGCCCCTTACACCGGCACCAAAGGGGTCCCTCACACTCACTGGCACCAAAGGGTCTCTGACACTGGCACCAAAGGGACTCTCACACTCACACATACCACAAGACCTTCACACTCACACATACCACAGGACCCTCACACCAGCTGTGTCCGGGTACAAGTGACAGGATGAACAACCCAGCGGGTTTTCTTCCTATTGGGGAGTGTTGTACATGCTGCTATGGCGGTGTGTCCACTCACAGGATGAGTGGTGCTGCCCAATAAACTCGCCCCTCGGGGAAAAATTAAAAAAAAAAATTAACTCACACATACTACAGGACCCTCACACTCACACACACCAACTAGCGAGCACTTGAAGCATGAAGCTAATACACGTGACTCACCCCCCCCCCCCCTCACACACTCACAAAGGGAAGCGTTGCGGTAGGTCGGTGTGGGGAGGGAGGCCAGGAGGAACAGGTGGGAGGGGGGAGAGAGGAGGGGAAAAGAGAGGGAGATAAAGTGAGACAGATAGACAAAGTATCCAATTGACTTATTACGGGCTATTCATGCCCATGCCACCTCTTGGGTGACTTAATCTTCATCAATCAATCAATTTAGTAGAGATAGTGAAAAGAGGCGAGACAGCAGTATTGCGTCCACCAAAAACCGGATACGCACAAATTCCGGCCCCTCCGCCACGCAGCGGGCGGCCGCCAGAGTTCCCAGGAGACCGGACACTACATCAATACAATTCTCGGTATTATTCTATTCTCTCCCCTTCCCTCTATTCACCTCATTCGCCCGCTCTCCATTTTTTTTCTTCATCCCTACCTCTTACCTTGAGATGATTTCGGGGCTTAGCGTCCCCGCGGCCCGGTCCTCGATTAGGCCTCTTCCCAAGGCCCACCCTGGTTACTCTCCACTTTCATAACTCCAGTTACCCCTCCTCATATTGGATGGATGAGTGGATGGGACGGAGGGGGTGGGGGAGAAAGAAAGAGAGAAAAAGAGATAGAGAGACACAGAGAAAGAGACAAAGAGAGAGAGAGAGAGAATGGGGGTGTGTGTGTGTATTGTTATCGTGTACGGATCCTGTCTTTACTCTAGCACAATGTCTTATCTGGCGCTAAAGTGGTGTGTCATCATATACGTGTCACACAATAATATAGGCAGCGGTGTCCTGGCAACTGAAAGCGCTAGCGGCTCGCGAAATAACATGATGTCCCGTTTTCCCTTCGCGGGTCCTTGGGTAGGTGAGATTCGGGCACTTTAGCACACCAATTTTGCGACGTTGGGAACATGCTCAGGAAACGGGCTGTCATATTACCGGACATTACAGGAGTCAGTCACAACAACGGGTTAATATGGATCCCACCTCTATGTCACCTATTAGTTTCCATAAAACAACAACCCTATTCACAAACCAATATTTACCCATTTTTTCTGGATTTAAACCTATCCAATTTGTACACATTTTTCGTGTTCAGTTTTGCTATAGTCATTCATCCATATGTATACTTGTACAATTAACCCAATACTATTTATCATCCCACAGAATGTAAATTTAAGATGTCGCAATTTCCAACTGTATGAGAGTAACTTTTCACAATTCCCTCTATGGTCTACCTGGAGTGGGGTTTGCATGGTACGACTTCGTTACTTCAGCCACACACACACATTTATATTATATCTGGTTGATACCTGATACCTGGTTGATGGGGTTCTGGGAGTTCTTCTACTCCCCAAGCCCGGCCCGAGGCCAGGCTTGACTTGTGAGAGTTTGGTCCACCAGGCTGTTGCTTGGAGCGGCCCGCAGGCCCACATACCCACCACAGCCCGGTTGGTCCGGCACTCCTTGGAGGAATAAATCTAGTTTCCTCTTGAATATGTCTACGGTTGTTCCGGCAATATTTCTTATGCTTGCTGGGAGGACGTTGAACAACCGCGGACCTCTGATGTTTATACAGAGTTCTCTGATTGTGCCTATGGCACCTCTGCTCTTCACTGGTTCGTTCACTTCACTGCTCTTCACTACATTTTCTTCCATATCGTTTACTCCAGTACGTTGTTATTTTACTGTGTAGATTTGGTACTTGGCCCTCCAGTATCTTCCAGGTGTATATTATTTGATATCTCTCTCGTCTTCTTTCTAGTGAGTACATTTGGAGGGCTTTGAGACGATCCCAATAATTTAGGTGCTTTATTGCGTCTATGCGTGCCGTATATGTTCTCTGTATTCCCTCTATTTCAGCAATCTCTCCTGCTCTGAAGGGGGAAGTGAGTACTGAGCAGTACTCAAGACGGGACAACACAAGTGACTTGAAGAGTACAACCATTGTGATGGGATCCCTGGATTTGAAAGTTCTCGTAATCCATCCTATCATTTTTCTGGCCGTCGCAATATTTGCTTGGTTATGCTCCTTAAACGTTAGGTCGTCAGACATTATTATTCCAAATACTTAACATGCTGTTTTCCTACTATGGGTACATTTGATTGTGTTTTGTACTCTGTATTATGTTTAAGGTCCTCATTTTTACCGTACCTGAGTACCTGGAATTTATCACTGTTAAACATCATGTTACTTTCTGATGCCCAGTCGAAAACTTTATTAATATCAGCTTGAAGTTTTTCAATGTCCTCAGCCGAGGTAATTTTCATACTGATTTTTGTGTCATCTGCAAAGGATGATACGAAGCTGTGACTTGTATTTTTGTCTATATCTGATCAGAGAATTAGGAAAAGCAGCGGTGCAAGGACTGTACCCTGAGGTACAGAGCTTTTCACTGCACTTGGACTAGATTTTATATGGTTGACAGTTACTCGCTGAGTCCTGTTTGACAGAAAACTGAGTATCCAGCGTCCTACTTTACCGGTTATTCCCATTGACTTCATTTTGTGTGCTATCACGCCATGGTCACATTTATCGAAAGCCTTTGCAAAGTCCGTGTATATCACATCATCATTCTGTTTCTCTTCTAATGCCTCAGTGACTTTGTCGTAGTGCTCAAGTAGCTGTGAGAGGCACGATCTTCCCGCTCTAAATCCATCCATCTATCTATCTATCTCTCTGTCACCTGTTATTTCATCTCTCTCTCTCGCCTCAGTTATTTTTCCCCCCTCGACATACTGTTTACGCTGAGGAAAATTCATTGGTAATTATCCTTTAGTTTGGCGCCCTTACTGCCAGCGCTCACGTCAAGATTTGCTTACTCTGTCGTCTCTTTCATCTAGTCTGCTTTTTAGGCTTTATGTTGTCATGTGATTTTGTGGAAGGGATTGGGCAGGCGATTAGATGTAGAGTTACGGTGTAGGGGAGTGAGTGTTGGAGTGATGTGTGAGAGTGCAGTTATTCTAGTCATGGTAAGGGAGTGGGGAACGGATTGCGGGCAAGGTGAGATTATAAGTATTTTTATTTTGACAATGAATTAGGCCTCTTCCACAATATCCACCTGTGCAACTATTGCAACAATAGTTGCAATTAGTTAATGGTGCAACTATTACGACAAATTAAAAGAACATGAGGCATATACCTAGTGTATAAAATCTAGCACACTACCAAAAATATATAATATATTTAATTATTATTTACACATTTTTAGAAGGCTTACTGGTACTCACCATGAGAGAGCGTCTGTCTGCTACTACTGGAGGAGGAAGATGAAGATGATGAAGAGGAGGAGGAGGCTGGGGCAGCATCTCCTCCCCCTCCTTGAGTGGCTTCAGCTTCCTTGGTGTGTTCTTCCTCGCTACCTTCCTGCAAGAAAATGCGGGTCAGTTGATTCACCCACGAGTACCTGACAGCAGGCACCCACAGCTGCCCCTTCCCAGAGCCGCTTGTGGGGCTCTCCGCTCTGGGGATTGGTCTGAAGGTCAGGCTAGGACTACTGCTGTTTGAACTGTTCACGACGCTTGTGAAGAACGGTCTCAGTTCTGGGTTAGCTCGGATTGGATTGGTGCTCGCGGGGTTTACTAGAAGAGCCAGTGGTTTAAGTTTCAGGCGCTGGGTGGCAGCACTACCCGAGGATGTAGTGAGCTTCACCGGACTGGTAGGCCTGCTGGTGACCGGACTGGTAGGCCTACTGGTGACCGGACTGGTAGGCCTGCTGGTGGCAGGACTGGTAGGTGTGCTGGTGGCAGGACTGGTAGGTGTGCTGATGACCGGACTGGTAGATCTACTGGTGGCAGGACTGGATATACTAGTGGTGAGACAGGTATACCTAGTGGCAACAACACTGGTTGTGTTAGCGGGGCTAGGGCCCGCGCTGGTGACTAGCGTGGTGGTGGGACTAGTAGACAAGTCGGGGATCTGACTGGCAGCCGGACTAGAAGCCGAGCTAGTAAGTTGACTGGTGGCCGGGTTAGTAACTAGACTAGTATCCGAGCTTGAGAGTTGGGTAGTAAGTTGAGTGGTGGAGGCTGAGGCAGGAGGGCAGCGCCAGTATGGTCGCTCACGCCGCCCTGAGCGCCGCCGGCAGCCGCGTCTGCTGTCAGTGCCGGCAGCAGCGGCTTTAGGAACAAGTGAGGCAGACGCGTAGGAGGAGGAGGAGCAGTTTATGTGGTGGTAGACTGACGAGGAGCGGAGCCTCTCCACCCTGACTGGCCTCCACTGGTCTTCCTCCGTGACCCTACCACCACCCTCAACCCTGCCGTGCGCCTTCCACCCATTTCTGGTCTTGTGGCCGCGACACCTGCTGAACGACACGGGGATCCACTGCTTCGTGTCGTCTCCACACGGAAGCGTGTCGTCGCGACGCGGCGGCGTGACGTCTGCCGTGGCGGCGGCGGCGGCGGGGTCTGGCTTGACAATAGTGTCGTGAGTGACGGGCGACCGCGAGTGTGGCTTTGGGGTAGGTCGCGGGAGCGGCTTCTTGAAGATGTGTGTTTCCCGCTGGTCGGCGGAGGTGGCGCTCTCCCGACGGTGGTGGTGGTGGCGGCGGCAGTGTCGCTTGAGGAGGGCCACACGCTGCTCTAGCGCGGCCATGTGCTGAAGGGTGAGGGTGGAGTGGGACCTGTAGGCGAGTAAGAGGCGCGCCAGGAAATGCCTCTGTGGCGGGGGTAGTGTGGAGAGGCCTCCCTGACGGGCCAGAGCGAGGAGCCGCAGGAGGGCGGCGTGGTGCGGCCGTATGCCACCCCCACTACCAGCCTTCACCACAAACGATGACATCACAGCACATTTCACACCCATTACCTCCAATGAAGCGTGTACTTAAAACTAGATCGACACTCACTGGTGGCGTAGAGCGCCCACCAACACTACTCAAGCCATCCCCAACACACTCGTGCTGAGGATGCTACACAACATCTCACACAATGTTTTCCTCAATGTTTCTTGTACTCACTAACACAGAGCCGTCTTCAAAATATATCACAAAGTTTCCTCAGAGACAGCTTATACGACGAGATAACTTGCAGGTACTAAGGCAGAAGTGAGCATGTGTTGTGGGGGGACTGGAGGTACTGGCGGGCGAGGTGACGAGTGGGAGCGGGCGCGTGTTACACCCTCGCTTGATCTATCGCAACTGGCGGCAGTATTCGCACCATCACCAAACACCACACTCCACCACACACACACACACACACACACACGTGTACACACACACACACACGCACGTATACACGCACACTCGCCCCGCCCTCCACCGCCCCGCCCCCAACATCCTCCCCCCCTCTCTCTACCTTCCTCAACACGTGGCCACAACATACTAAAGGCTAAAGCCACACCAAGGTCAGCGCCAGGTCCTGGCTCAACCCGTGTCAACACCACAAAACTCCACCATTTTAATACCCCCCCCCACACACACACAGGTGACTATACATACATTCAAAATCATTCAGAACCTTGTATACCACATATGTAAGATCAATCCTGGAGTATGCGGCCCCAGCATGGAGCCCGTACCTTATCAAGCACAAGACGAAGCTGGAAAAAGTTCAGAGGTATGCCACTAGACTAGTCCCAAACTAAGAGGCATGAGTTACGAGGAAAGGCTGCGGGAAATGCACCTCACGACACTGGAAGACAGAAGAGTGAGGGAAGACATGATCACTACCTACAAAATTCTCAGAAGAATTGACAGGGTAGATAGGGATAAACTGTTTAACACTGGTGGTACGCAAACAAGGAGACACCGGTGGAAATTGAGTACCTAAATGAGCCACAGTGACGTTAGGAAAGAACTTGTTCAGTGTCAGAGTAGTTAACAGATGGAATGTATTAGGCAGTGATGTGCTGGAGGCTGACTCCATACACAGTTTCAAGTGTAGATATGATAGAGCCCAGTAGGCTCCAGAATCTGTGCACCAGTTGATTGACAGTTGAGAGGCGGGACCAAAGAGCCAAAGCTCAACCCCAACAAAGCTCAAGCTCAACTAGGCAAGTACACACGGGGGTCTCGTGGCTGAGTAGACAGCGCTTGGAGTCATAGTCCTAAAGGGCCCTGGTTCGATTCCCGGCGGAGGCAGAAACAAATGGGCATTTTTTTTTTCACTCTGGTGTTTTGTTCACCTAGCAGTAAATAGGTACCTGGGAGTTAGACAACTGCCACGGACTGCTTCATGGGGATGTGTGTGTGAGTGTGTTAGAGAGAAATATATGTAGTAGATATAACAAGAGATAAAATAGATTGGTCAGAAAGGTTATGGTAATTACCATACCATACGGGGACTGGTAATTAAAATATCCGCTATAATTACATCACAATCGACTTGATAATGTTCCAGGCCGAACCTGGAACCCCATCAAGCAGGTATTGAGCAGATATCAAGCAAGTATTAAGCAGGTATTAAGCAGGTATCAAGCAGGTATTAAGCAGGTATCAAGCAGGTATTAAGCAGGTATCAAGCAGGTATTAAGCAGGTATCAAGCAGGTATTAAGCAGGTATCAAGCAGGACCGAAACGCCATCGTCTCTTCACCTTCTGGTGTGGGGTTCAGTCGTCATAATGTCCGCTAAACAAAAAAATAATTACAATATCTATATTTACATAAATTATTTTTACCTTGATGATAGGTCTTTTGCTCATACATAAAATATTAAGATACGAGGATATTACAGGATTACAGAAGAGCTTTTGCTTATATTTGTTAGTCTTCACTTTTGAAATATGGATATAATGCAAGATTTTAGAGATATTTTAGCTGAAATTCTTGCTGTTTATATCTAGCTGTGCCTTTGGGAGCTATATCTGGCTGTGCCATTGGGAGCTATATCTGGCTGTGCCTTTGGGAACTATATCTGGCTGTGCCTTTGGGAGCTATATCTGGCTGTGCCTTTGGGAGCTATATCTGGCTGTGCCATTGGGAGCTATATCTGGCTGTGCCTTTGGGAACTATATCTGGCTGTGCCTCTGGGAGCTATATCTGGCTGTGCCTCTGGGAGCTATATCTGGCTGTGCCTTTGGGAGCTATATCTGGCTGTGCCTTTGGGAGCTATATCTGGTGCTGGGAGCTATATCTGCTGTGCTTTGGGAGCTATATCTGGCTGTGCCTCTGGGAGCTATATCTGGCTGTGCCTCTGGGAGCTATATCTGGCTGTGCCTTTGGGAGCTATATCTGGCTGTGCCTTGCTTGAGGAGTTGTCAGTGATGCGACCTTGAGTCTTACCAGCCATCAAAGATGACTTGGAGTTGTGTGACGGAGCTGACCGCGACGCTCTGAGCACTGCCCTAATGTAATGTGCTGGTGTACGTCTATCTGTACGTACACAACAGTGGGTGTACAAAAGCCTCTCCAGAACGTAACTTTAATTAGTATTTGAGTCTTTTATCTAGTTCATTTATTCTGCACCCCATACCTTTGTTACCAATGACTTTACTGATCATTTTTCATATGGAACTCTTGCATAAATGATGATTATTACTTGTGGATAGAAAACCTTTTCACCCCAACTGTGTTTCCAGTGGACAACTGTGCCAAGACTGAAGGAACTTAGAAGATATTTTCCTTATCCGTCAAGGAGATGGTGAGATAAGAGGTGTTTATGGGGAGGAGGAGGAGCCGTGTGGCCCCGTGGGAGAGTCCAACACTGGACCAGACTGAAGGCCACACACACACACACACACACACACACACACACACACACACACACACACACACACACACACACACACACACACACACACACACGGTATTTTCCACCCGGCATCTCTGCTTGCTACTGCCTGCCTCTCTCTTGACGCACACGGCTCTGCTGGCCAGGCTGGTCCTGTGATCTCGTGCGCGTCTGCCGTTCCTCTAAGCAATACGTCTAGCTTATTTATTTCTGCACCTTCACTGCCTACGAACGGGGGACGCAATGCCGGTCCTTATCTCTCACCATAAAAACATTAAATGACATTTCATTCCCCACTTTTTTCCCTATTTTCATATACGATATGAATATAGAGATGGTGGGAGGGTATGAGGCGGGTAAGAATGTGGGGAGATGTGCCACCTAGCTTGATACCTCCTTGATGGGGTTCTGGGAGTAGTTCTACTTCACCCAAGACCGGCCCGAGGCCAGGCTTGGCTTGTCAAGAGCTTGCCACAAGTCAAGCTTGCCACAAGCTTGGCCTGGCTCCAAGCAACAGGCTGTTGCTTGGAGCGGCCCGCAGGCCCACGTTTATTTGATTTATTTATATATACAAGAGTTCTTACATTCGTGTACAACCACTAGCACACACAGCGTTTCGGGCAAGTCCTTAATCCTAATTTTCATATATAACTCCAGGACGCAGCCTGTAGCAGATGTCTAACTCCCAGGTATCTATTTACTGCTAGATGAACAGGGGCGTCAGGGTGAAAGAAACTGCCCATTTGTTTCCTCCTCCGCCGGGGATCGAACCCGGACCCTTAGGACTACGAATCCCGAGCGCTGTCCACTCAGCCGTCAGCCGTCTTAAACTATTCACCACAGCCCGGTTGATCCGGCATTTCTTGAAGAAAACTATTTAGTTTTCTCTTTAAGATGTCTCTCTCTCTTTCTGTATTTCCTCCAGCAGTCAGAGGTAACGCACAGTCACAGTCAGAGGTAACGCACTGGTAACGCCATGTGTGTGTGTGTACGTGCGTCTATGCACATAGTTTTCTCGATTTGACACTGTAAAAAATCCCCCATTTTGCATAACCAGTAACGTATGACCGGAGAGATAAGGTCAGCAGACTTGTAGACTACTGCTAGGCGTAGCTCGGGCTACAAGTACCTGTGGAGTTTACACCACCTACTGACGTAGACCTAACCAAATGTAAACTGCCACCTAAACTATCCCTCCACACTTTACCATACTATGTACTTGAAACAAATTAAAACGCCAGAATTCAGAGAGAGGTATTAAGAGTGTTCAAGAAATGTGTAAGAACTTCAATCACAATGATGTATATAGAGCCATATAGCCAACGTTTATTTAGTGTAGGTTGTGGATATGCGCATGACTTAACTGTCTACAGCTGCTACACACTGGCTGGGTGTGTGTGTGTGTGGCGCATGATGAGCAACGCTGTACTTGGCTCACTACACATGTAAACTGTCCACACACACACACACACACACACACACACACACACACACACACACACACACACACACACACACACACACACACACACACACACACACACACATGTAGATATGACAGAGCCCACTAGGCTCAGGAATCTGTACATCAGTTGATTGACGATTGAGAAGCGGGACCAAAGAGCCAGAGCTTAACCCCCGCAAACACAACTAGGTGAGTACAAGTAGGTGAGTACACACACCCCACGGCCACTTCTCACATAATACACTACTGGATATAGATACTAAATTGTGTAACTTTGTGTAACTAGTATGACAAGATTTGTTACCAGCTTGGCTAAATTAACTTCAAGGGGTTCAGTTGCTGCGCCTAGTATGTGCTAGTGTGACCACGGGAGGGGTATAGGGCGCATAATAAATGAACAATATCAATCCAGCTAGTTTTTTGTTTAAGCAGAGATTATACCTGCTTGATGGGGGTGTTCTGGGAGTTCTTTAACTCCCCAAGCCCGGCCCGAGGCCAGGCTTTACTGGTGAGAGCTTGCTCCAACAGGCTGTTGCTTGGAGCGGCCCACAGACCTAGTTTTCTCTTGAAGATGTCCACGGTTGTTCCGGCAATATTTCTTATGCTCGCCATTACAGCTATACACCACTTGGAAGGGATCAGGATAAAGATTTAGGATGGGACGGGGGTAAGGAACAGTGCCCAACCACTTGTGGACGGTAGAGCGACGGAACCGTTACATGCAGGTCGCCATTCAATGTCTAATCAACTCAAGAAAGTTGAAGTGGTTGGGCACCATTTTACTTCACTTCGTCCCATGGCAAATCCTCATCCTGATCCCTTCCAAGTGCTACAGTGGTAATGGCTTGGTGCTTCCTCCTGACAGTTCCCTTCCCGTCAGCAGATTAAGGCTTACCCTTAGGGAGTCGGGAGGAGCCGGTCGGCCGAGCGGACAGCACGCTGGACTTGTGATCCTGTGGTCCTGGGTTCGATCCCAGGCGCCGGCGAGAAACAATGGGCAGAGTTTCTTTCAACCCTATGTCCCT